TCTAACTTAGTGTGCATTTGAGACAATACAAAAGGATGTATTACTGTTGTATGACTGTTACAGAGTGGGAGATCTGAGTGCTCCATAAATGCACCTCTGCATATCGTCAGTTTGGAGTCCCCCAAGGCCTGGAAAACAACCAGCTAAAGTTGCTCAGTCTGTTTGTTTCATCCAATGGAAATTTTAGAGGTCATTTGATCTTAATATACAAACACATACTCAGGGTTCATAGGCTAAGCCTAAGATTCTGGTTCAAAGAGGTGTGCCAAGCACCAGGAGGTGCTCAGGGACAAGGCTCAGCTTACTTAGACTGCAGATAAAATGCAAAGTTAACTGACTATCGAAACAACTTCCTCATGATTTTCCTGCAAGTCAAGATTTCCTTCTTAGACAGGTGACCCAAAGCTTTTACAGAGTTTAATACCCTCCAGAGAACAGAATATTTCCAGATCTCTGAAAGAAGATCTAGAATGCATAAATAGAGAGAGAAACAAATTTGAGAGAGGTTCTTCCCTTACAGACCTGTGTTCAGAATGAAACCATACAGTACTTTACTCGAATCAGAAACTAAACCCTCGAGATTCAATCTAGTACTGTGTGTAAAGCCTCACCTTTGCAAATAGACATGATTTTTTTCCATCTCATGGGTTACCAACTTAGATCCATGTTCCTAACTATAATAAGGAAGAAGAGAAGAAACCCTGACTGACGTATCTGTGACCATCCCAGTGAGCATCGCTCGGGCAAGCTCAGAACTAATTTAACATTCTTGGAAGCAGAAAACATTCAGCTCAATGATAATCAGTGAAGTCAGATTTAAGGCAAGCAAAGTTCAGCAACTTGAGCTGGGTTTTATGTTCAATTATTTGGCTCATAAAAGCTAAATAGGTGTTAATGCCTATAGGGAACTGCTAGAGTTATTAATATCAAGTCATATGAAACTACCATAAAAAGACAGCATTTGGGTTTGATGAGTTTCTTCCTAAAAACTGCAAAAGGGATACTGTTGGTAGAAGTAAGACATGCTTTTTCTCCAGTCTTCAACAGAGTGAGTGAAATTACTGTATTTTTGCCATTTCTGGAGAAGTTGAAGCTATACTGTTATTTAAGGGTACTACACACTAAGTACACTCAGGGGAGAACATCTGCCTCAGAGATCCTGGACAACCACAGCACATACTCTGGTTATATTAGCATGTCCATATCCATTTACATGATAAATCTTTTGGGCTTACTGTTCATTTACTGCACTGTTGTTCTAAGCACACAACGTAGAGTTACAGTTCCTAGAAACATCAGAACTGTTGCTTCTACATTTAAGACAATCCAGAGAAAACAAATCTAATTCTAACAGTTAAATGAATAGTTCAAATACTGATCAGCTTCCTGCCCTATAAACCTCACAAGAATATTTTATGCATCTTTCAGATTTGTATGGTCATAGGTGCTACAGGAAAACCCACTTACAATCTGCTATTCATATCCTCTACAGCAGCATTTCCCTGATGTTTACTACAAGCCCCAAATACATGGCAGCCCACCACACACCATCACCATGAGTTGGGGTTGCTCAGCCTGGAGAACAGAAGGCTCCAGGGAAACCTTGTAGCACCTTGCAGTACCTAAAGGGGCTGCTGGAGTGCTGGAGAGGGCTTTTGACAAGGGCAGGTAGTGACAGGACAAGAGGGGATGGCTTTAAACTGAAAGAGGGCAGCATTGGATTAGATATTGTGAAGAAATTCTTTGCTGTGAGGGTGGTGAGGCACTGGAACAGATTACCCAGAGAAGCTGTGGATGCCTCATCCCTGGAAGTGTTCAAGGCCAGGTTGGATGGGGCATTGAACAAACTGGTATCAGGGAAGGTGTCCCTGCACATGGCAGGGAGGTTGGAACCAGATGATATTTAAGGTCCCTTCCAACCCAAACCATTCTATGAAACAATTCTATGATCATCTAAGTATTACCTAAAAATACAGAACAGCAATATGTTCCCATGCATCAATAACCGAGGGTGCTTCTGCCTTGTTAGACCAGCAATATTATGAAGACCACTGTGTACATCTAATTTTGCCCAGTATAGTCCAAAACCCCACAAACAAATCAGAATATACCACAAAATCCTGCGGGTGGTGTGCAAAGGAAATTACTTCTTTATTAAAAACTCTGCAAAGCCATGTGACATTAACCTGCAAAACAACACTGGTGATGGTCCTTTTACTTCTTATAGAATCACCAAGCTTTAAATTAATAATTATTAAAATTAACTTATCAACTAAACCAATACATTTATTATCTATTAGTTGCCATCCACACACGAGTGACAAAAGTGATGATTTTACAAGCAGTACGTGCCACACCAGGTACTACATCAGGATTTACATGAAGAGGTAAACTTTGTCTTTAGGTGTTTAATAATTGTAGAAACAATATTAAAAGTTGAAATCTACTGAAGCAGAAAAAAAGTTGGGATTTTCAGTGGCAACCTAACTTCATTTATAAGAGTGAAATATACTGATGATTAAAATTGGAAAGGAGAAAAGCCATTATGGAGCCTCCCTGGTTTCAGCCTTTAAACTCCATCACTGGTAGCAGCTAGCTCTTATCAGTCCTGCTCAGAGCAGTAAACCCATCATTTCTAGAAACTTCTGACAGACAACACATGTCCCAGGTGACAACTGTGGCTCAAATGCCTTTGGGTAGAGTGCTCACATCTACACGCTCAGTGAAGACACTGGTTGTACGAGTGCCACAGACGGGTATGGGACTGTTCCCACAAACAGCAGTGTGGGAGGGTACTGGGTAGAAACTTCCCCACCATGATTAAAGAAACTTAACTAAAAAGAAAAGTAGGAATTACTCCTCATCCATTTTCTTTACCATTCCTGTTCCTTCTGTACATTGTATCTGGACGATGTTTTAAACCCTCCTGTTATTAAGCCTTTTTCTGCTTAGTGAGGAGGATATAATTTTAATCACGGGGTTGAAGTTACAGTTAAGCTAAAACAGCTCAGCCCCACTGTGATAAGAAGCACTTGGTCTGTCAGAGAGAGTTCTGCAAAACCACTCGTCCCCCAGCAACAGGGCTAAGATGATGAAGGTGCCCAGCCTGAAATACACTCTTTCTGCCTAATTCAGTTTCTAAATCTCATCAGGAACGGGATACAAGTACAAGCTCTATTTGTAGTAATGTGAACAGAAACGCACGCAAAAAGAAATGACTCATAGGAGAGACTCAAGGACCTCGGAGAGATTGTAATACTGTCTCTAATTTTGGAAACACTTCATGATTTGTATCCTCTTTCAATGCCAATGGAAATAATGAAAGTTAATACCAGGTGCACCAATGAGTCCTGGCAGTTTTGACCTTTAGAGGAACGAACTTGGATTTACAGATGACAAGATTCATTGTGAGCACATCACACAGCACTAAGCTGCTGACTTTCAGGCTCGCTGTGATTTACTGGAATACCCCAGCCCATACACCAATATTTCAATACCCACAGGAAGGGAAGTTCTACTAACAAACATCCCCGTCTGCAATTTTTACCAGTAATTCCCGAGACCTATTTCTGCCTTCTAAGTCGTGTTAACCAACATGATGTAAACTTATAATACTTTTTCCTCATAGGACGTATTAGCATTACACATTGCAAATCTAATACTAAGGCTTTTTCATTGCACACAAACATAGTACAAATATGACCATGAAGCAAATGTGGACCACCTGTTTAATAAAGTGCAGATGGCTTCTGGATAACTTCAGATAATAAAGTGCAATGACTTCTGGAAAGCAAAATTAATCTAAGCACTAGCACCAAGAACTTGCTTTTCTTCTGTTTCCTTTTGAAGGCACTTATCTAGCTCACCTGAGTTACAGCTGTAGGTATTCTTGCACAAATGTACTGTGTTTTGGAGATACATGTTCTGCTAACTCATGCTACAGTAAAACTCCTCCCACGTAGAAGGCCTACAGGTTCACACTAGTTATGCCCCAATTCTTAAAGTCCTTAACTTACTGCTGAGCATTTACATTGCAGGAACAGCCAAACAACTTTTCCAGCAGCTACACACTTTGAAGTATAACCGTGGGGCTTACCTGAGAATCATAGAATGGTTGGGGTTGGAAGGGACCTTTAAACCTCATCTAGTCCAACACCCCTGCAATGAACAGGGACATGTTCAACTAGACCAGGTTGCTCAGAACCCCATCCCAACCTGATCTTGACTGTTTCCAGGGATGGGGCACCCACCACATACCTGGGAAACCTGTTTCAGTGTTTCACCACCTTCCTTGTAAAAAAATTAATTCTTTCATGTATCTAGTATGAATCTACCCTCTTTTCACGTAAAACTATTGTCCCTCATCCTACCTCAACAGGCCCTACTAAAAAGTCTGTCCCTATCTCTTGTAACTCTCCTTTAATAATAGAGGTTAAAAATAAATACTGGAGACTTCCCATTTGTAAATAGGGACATCAGCCATCACCATACACCTAAAGTGTATTTGTACACCTGCAGGTGTACATAGAAAAGCAAGCCTTCATTTAGAAATTAGTTATTACATGTACACAGACATACAGGATACTGATTGACTTCTACAATCAATATGAACAGTAAATTAGGTCTGGGCTGGATAAACAATACAGGACATTGAACCAGACTTCTCAGAGGCAGTTTCAGAACTTTATCTCTCCCCATCTTATTTTAACAGCTGTTGTTCTAGCTCTCCTAACTTCATGTCTGGCCTTTCTGAGACCTGGAGACTGAGAGAGTCTTCAATTTCTGGGTTTTTTTCCCCTAATAAATCCACGGAATATGGTGTTTTTTCTTGGCATGTATGGCCATGATGGAAAGAAAATAGATTACAAAAGAGAATTTCCCCATTTCTGCCTGTACTTAAAATCCCATTCTTGGTTTGCAAAGACAAAACAGCTGAACAATTAGAATTAACCCAACAAATTGTAGTACTGTTCCTCTTTCTGTCCTTCCTCAAAGTTTACCTTGTCTTGGATGCAGCAAATCCTGGGCACTGGTTCCTAACATCCAGAGGTTAACTGAGAAGCCTTCCTTGCTTGCTTGTACCCAGAATGATTTTCCAGCACTTTATATCCCAGAGAACCATTCACTGACTGTACTCTGTGATCCAACAGAAAGTTCTTCACATATTTCCTTTGACTAGGGAAAAACCCATTTTAGTAAAAATAAAAGATTATTTAACTTTCAGTAGTGAGGTGCAACGACAATAAGTTTTTCTGCCTTCATAATGTATCACTGCGATCTTTTATTCAAAACAGAATTTGTTCCAGAGATCAGTGACTAAAATATGCTGCAGGCTAAAGAGTCATAAATTTTCAGATCTCACCCAATGAGTTTTAAGATGCTAAGTACATTAAATGTTTAATTACAAAGTAACTCAACTGCAATGTCATAACTTGAACAGTCCAGAAACCTCATGAATTCCAGCTTGCATTCAGTTACACCGAAAACAGAGCACTACATATTTCTATATATGTCTGAATTTGCCTCCAGTTACTCTCAAAGTTCTCTTTTCTTCCAGTAAATGAACACATTCTCACATTCAAACCTGAAAGAAGTCCCAGAACAGCATGGAGCCTCTGAACTCCCAAGGCCAGAAGGCCTCCCACTGCCTTCAATACACTTTGAATCAGGTCCTGTAAGAGACTGTGTTGGCACCTAACTTCTTTTATTTGCCCTAGAGTGGCCCATAGGCCTCTAGAACCAAAGTGCTATCAAACAAACAAAACCACCCCCCACAGCTTGATTTTCACATTTATAAGGGATATAATTTCCCATATATTAAAGCATTTTAAAAATAATTAATAAATATTTTTTAAAATGTTATTGATCTGACCTTGAATACTGAGTAAAAATATGTGTAACAATGTAAAACCTTTATGCCTTGGACTGTTGTGGTCAATTTATGTCCAGTTACCAACAGCAAAGGAAAAATATTTTCAAGACAGCACCTTCCTGTCGCAATGACTTGCACAAGAATTTTCTTGGTCTCACTTCAGAAAGGCAGGGGAGCTGGCAGTAACATTGTGTTCAGAAACAAATATGTATTTAAGCATTTTTCCAAAAAGGTAGGTCCTATTGATATTTCTAGAAGTTATTTGGATGTCCTGGACACACAGCATTCTAAAAGAGAAAAACCTCCCCTTTATTTTCATTTTAGCCTGTCTCTCTCTGCTGATGTCACCATGAGCATCAGTGACAGTGTCACAAACTTATCTTAGTGTCAAAGATTTTCTGGACATGGCAGTGTCCTTCTGTACCATTTTCTGACTCTCTCAGAACACCTGATACTGGTTCAGCAGAAATAGTTCATACTGGTATTAAACACATCAACAGAAATCTTAGTAGCAAGAGTATTTAGGTTACCTTAAGAACTGAAGAATACACTGGCTTCTAATCAGCAAAATACTTAATAAGTATAGTCTTAACTCTGGCACAGAAGCCTGAAAATGTTTTATTGAATCAAAACTAGACTTAATCTGAGCCAAACTTTATTCAAGGATTTACAATAATGACAGTGTTATGAACAATCTTTGGGCACATAAGAAGCAGGAAAAAAATGTTTAAACCTTTTATTACTATTTGCCTATTTTTGCACTGTAAAAATATTCTCACAATGTTGCAGCCCTTCAGCTGTAGAATAGTGAGGAAACATTCCTGTAACAATGCTTCCAGAGTGGAACAAATAACATTCACTGTTTAATAACTTCCACTATTTAATAAATAATGGATAGTACTTAATCCTGATTTGACTGTGTGGCAGAAAAACCTCATGGGAGCCCCAGTTCGACCCTATTCATTAAGGAGCAGAATCTGCTCTCCTTAGAGAGGAGGGGAAGTGTTTATTCCCTGATACGTCTCTCTGACTACAGGTGGCCAGAAATACCACCTGTGCTAACTGTACTGTGCTGTTTGCACTCAGATACAAAACCAACACCCTGAGTTCAAGCCAGTGTGTAGCTCATTTATATTTCACCCAAAATCGGGCCCATGAAAACTAAAGAATGCTGTTCTCACAGTCTACTTCACCTTCTGCCATTTGATGCACAGATCCACCTCCCTTCCCCTTGTTCCATGAGATCAATTGGCAAGTAGAGATTGCTGCAAGTGTGGCCACAGAACCACCTTACTCTGCTCCCATCCACAGTAACTTAGAAAAACAAAGAGCTATAGCCCACAGAGATATTATTAATTTCCTTTATCGATTGAAGCATAAGATACAAGGCACCCAGCAGCCCCTGAGCCACGCAACAAAATAGGTGCAAGGACCAGCAATGAAAAACACCAAGTAATGAAACAAAAGATATAAATTATGAAAAGTAAAGCTAAAAAAAAAAATCAATATGCTGCTTTTCTGAAAGACTGTGCTCAGTTTTAAAAACAGAGGCGTTCGTGCTGAATGTTTAATTAGCTATAGATTAGCTAAAGAAGGATTTCAGACCATCTGGAGTCTATTCTGTAACTTGATCTGGAAACCTCTAGCTCAAAATAGTCCCTGGGGGAAGGCACAAACATACATACCAAAACCTCTTTAGCAAGTTTCTGGAATATATTTTAGATAAAAATATGCCATCTTTATCTGCTGGGAAATCTGAGATGAAAAATAAAAAAAACCCAACCCCACAGTGAAACACCAAAATACTAGAAACAATTGGAGAAGCAAGGTATCATTTCTTAGGGGAGCAATAACAGGAGGTTTACACCAAAAAGCCTGATGAGCAGCTTTAGCTTCTAAACATTAAAAGGTGCAATCATTCAACAATGTCTGATAATCACCCAAATGATAAAGATACATCCTCTGAGTTTTGACAGGAGGCTTAAAATAAGACTTCCAATAACAGAGGAACAGAAGCCCCCATCGCACTGCAGGAGGGGGGGCAGAAATTAGAGCATCACACAAAAGTTGTCCTAAAATAGAACTTGGAATGATGCCATAGTTAATAGCTATAAATACAGAACACATTGATGTATTGAACATGTTTTTTTAAATACAGTTTTAAGCAGAATGGAAATGAAAGGCAAGTCTTGAAAAAAATTTTGGTCACCATCAGCAGTACAAAGAACACTGAAACAATTCTAGATAGTGACTAGTGAAAGATTTTTATTTTCAAATCAGGTTGGATCAGACTCAAAGGCTTTTCCTCTGCTTCCATACCAAGAAGGGAAGAATGGAAGAATTAGTAGGTGTGTCTTAGAGTGAAAAACACAATTTATGTACAATACCTGAATTACAGTCCAGCTGGTGCATATCTCCTGGGGTGACCATGTTCTGGGGGTGATATTGGTATGGTCCTTATTAAGCAGTTGCCTGCATAAGAGATCACTTCCCCTGAGAATCAGAGCAGACCTTTTCAGAGTATATTTTCTGTTTTTTAATAAAGATGATATCCTAGGAATCTAAAGAATGGGACTGAAAGCATAATTTTGTTCATTTTGACACTGGAAAGAGTTTCCAGAGAGAAAGCAAATGAAAAAAACCAACTATAAAATACAAACTGCCTATTTAGAAAATAAGATGCAGCCTGGAAGTCAGAAATGAAGTTGCATCTCTAACCTGGCCCATGACTGAGCAATACAATCAGGCAGAGCCTCACCAGAGGGTGTTATAGGCAAACTTTCCATCCCATTTCATTCCCATCAAGTGCAGCTTGTGCTCACATCATAAGATGCAGATGTGGGTACATATTTTCCCATTCAGACTGGGATTGCATCTGGCTCTGCACATGGTGTCAAAGAGTATGTCAAGCATGAAATACATTTCCCTATAACCCTAGGTATGTTGTGAAGTACAAACATGGTATTTGGAACTGTTCAAATCCTGGGAGAACTGTTTTTAGCGAAATCTTTTAAAAAATTCCCATCTTCACAAAAAATATTGACAACATAAATTGATAAATCAAGATTCTTATCAAGACTCAACACTTAACATAAATTCCAAATATCCGTCTACAACAGCAATTCACCTGCATCTAAATGACCTGATTTAAATGGGATGTAAATGATCTTTAGGGGGTTAGTCCAGATGAACAGAAGAATGGAGATGTACAAAGCAGAAAGTGAGGAGGGCGGATTCAAGTGGTTTCTCCTCTAAGAACCCGGAGATTGTTCATTCATGTAGGCAAATTTCTTTCAAGATTTTTAATATACAGAGATTTTTGCACTTCCTTCTATAGTTTTCCTTACATTAAAGATTAAATATCAGTCATCGATATCTCTGGAGATTATTTTAGCTTCATTTTATACATTACTATGTCTAAATATGATGCAACAGACCCTGCAGGCAAGTTTCTCCATGCTTTATTGATTTGCAAGGATGACATAATTACAACTAATTTATAAAACATTTTTTCCCCAAAACAATTTCATACTAATTCCATTTCCTTGGAGAAGTTCAGGGGAGGCATTACAAGGGTCATGCCACAGGGACCCTTTGTCCCCACAGTGCTCAATGCATCACATCACTAAGGGTTCTCCATTTTACTCACTCTTTAATTTCTCCAGCATAGTCACTGCTTTCAACTTCTAAACTCAGAGAATTCAGGGAACAAGAAAATTCACAGTATTCCACACTACACTTAACTCATAGTGGAGGATGATGAGGGAAAGCTCTACTAAAATCCAAGAGGCACAGTCACAAGCTATCTCCGAACTTGTATCAGTCTGAGCATCACTTTGTACAGCACAGTACCTCAAGAAGCAAAGCCCCAGCTCTCAGCAGCCCAGTCTGTTTAAGAACTCAGACTGAGCTTCCTTGAGACAGCAGTTCTTCATGATTCTTGTTCTGATGCTCAAAAAAACTGTTTTTGATCTGCGGCACCAATTTGCAGCCTTTCTGTTTTAGCTGACGTGACTGGGAACTGTGAGCTCTGCACCACCTCACTTTTACACAGGGGCTGTGAAAATTTGATCTCCCAACTGTTGCAGCTCCCAAACCGATATTTTAATAAATGATATCATCGGGGTGGTCAAACTTAATTATTCAGGCTAGGAATGGCAGCAGGCCAGAAGCCCACACATGGTCTGCCAGCCACCTGAGCTGCACAGGCTGCTGGCAACTTCTGGTGAGGAGCTGGGACACATAACCATTCAAAACATCCACAGCAGGAGTGACCAGAGCTCCTGAGTGAGCATGCCAACAATTTGTGAAGCACTTCAGCTGCCGTGGGAACACTCACAAGCAAAACATATCCTCAAGGCTAAGCAGTGCTCAGTGTGGAGTCTGCAGGTACCCACGTTCAACAGAGGTGCATGAAGTGACAGGCAGATATCCAAGTGACCACACCAAGGTACACTGACTGTGCTGGGGAGCCATAGTGATTTTTGTTTGGATTTTTCTCATTTCTGAACCATCTTCTGCAGGAACTGCAATTGCATGCTTCAGCTTTCCAGACACCTACTGGAAAGTTTTCATGGCTGAAAGGATTTTTGAGAAACAGAAAGCTTCATTTCACACATAAAACCTGCCTTTTACCTTAAAAGCTTACCTTGTTCCATCCCACAGACCTAAGCACAAGGGCCAGCAGAACTCACCAAGAGCCATTGCTAGTTCATATTAGCAATGCAGACACAAATGTGGTGCAAAGGAAGGAAGCACTGCTCTTTTCTTTCCTAGAATACTGCTGTCATTAAAAAATCCCCCTGGAACAGAAAACTTAAATATTGGCCCAAGACTCATGTTACAGGGGCCAATGTCACTGGTACTGTGTGATATCTGCATTGAAACCAAGTTTGACTATAAATTTTTCTGCATTCACTGTTTCTCTTCCTTTAGCACATTACAGAATATGTTAATTCAGTAAGATCAAAAAAAGCAATAAAAATATTATACATATAATATTTACTTGAGGTTTTGTTGTTTCAGAAGGAATTAAAGTGATTCAACTTTTTTAAAACCCAGCTACAAAAAAGACAACGACTACATACATAATTTCAGGGGAAAAAACTATAGAAAAAAAAGGAAGTCTTAGGTCATTGACTTCTTGACTCACTTTTGAATCTTGGGAGAAATGGTTTGATGATTTTAGAATGTATTTATCTATCTACACATATTACTATTTTAGTAAGCTAAAGTCAAATCGATAAAATCATTTGGCTTAAAGCCAAAGTGACACTGGTAAAAATTGCTAAGACAATAAAACAGAAAACCCCTAAACATTCATCTCAGGGTAAGCCCAGATATTTTCTCTAGCTATATCACTTCTTTTTCCTAAAACATTTTTTAATAGATTTCCTATGCTTTCAATGGATCTGCTTTTGAAAAACATGAGCCTCTGCAAATACATGTTCTGTTCCAAAAGAAAGAAAAACAGAGACTAAAAGTCATCACCCAAGAAATGTAAAATGCAGATGCAAAAGTGTGAGATAAACAACACTGTTTAACCTATTTACCCACATCTTTCTAGTTTTTCTCATTATACAAATCACAAATAAGTAAAGACACTATGACAAATCCAGCAAATGGGAACAATTCACAGCAAATGCTCCATGTTCAGGAACACTCCAATCAGTTGACAGAAGTCAGGCATAGGATATTTACTTTTTATTCCTACCAGATAAAACAGAGCTTCTACCTAAAACTGTGTCTGTGCTCAGGAAGCTGGAGTGAAAGATCCCTCCTTTATAACGGTGGATTGAAATTTACTGCGGCCACTTGTGAATTTAAATATTTGAAATCATCCATTAAGGCACAGTTGAGCATAAGAAAATGTCCACTGCCTTCATTAGGTTCTATTAAATCTTACCTATTTACAAATGCGTCTCTGTGGTTTCTGCAGCACTGACATGCACTGGAAGGAACAGCAACATTCCCATGAACTAGGTTCATACTCTTTCTGGAATAAAAACAATGGACAAGCAGCCACATAACACAGAAATATCATTCTGCCTAAGGTACTAGCGACACAAACCACAAGGACAAAGCTCTGGCAGCATCATTACAGTTAAGAGCATCTCCGTACTTCTGTGACAAACTCTGAGGCACAGTTCAGCAATGCTACACTGCAAAGGGGTTCCAGCTGCTTCTACAGGACAGGACAGATGTAACTTCTTACACAGAACAGGAGAGCCTCAAATAAATCAGATCATTTGGAGCTGAGTGTTAAAAAAGAACATACAGCTATTTCAAAGACATGGGCTCTGGGGGGAGGGAGAAGCTGCATACGTACATCCATACGTCCTGCAAAATAAGGTGCTTTTTAAAAAAATTAAATGACAGTTGTTCTGTGCAATTATGTCCATACATACTCCTCAGCAGATGGTCACGGCATCTGCACTGGTTCAAACTTGCTTCAAAGTTCTAACAGGCTCACTTGATGGATCTGCATTCTTCCCTCTCCTTTGGCACACTAATTTCATCACTCCCAGCAATGGTTTTACTCAGCACTTATAGACGTGCCACAACTTGACAGCTATACAATTTACTCTCACTAACAGCAAAACAAAATGCACTTATGTCCCATTATACTTACCAGAGTCTGCCTTGGCCTAAGATTATAGGAGCATTACAATTTCTATTTTGCTGCAAAAGAGCAAACTCAAAATTGACTATTTTTCCTTCTTTCAAAAAGATATTTTTTTCTGGTGCTTGATTTAAGGTCCACTTTTCTTCTGCAAGGCAGCTGATGCAGACTAGCATTAGTGACTGTTTGGTACAGTGCCTTTCATCACAGTCATCTCACCACTGGTTTTCTGCAGTACGTGTAACAAATAGCCCGAGTCCCAAGTGGGACCTTTACAACTAAACAGCAAAAAAAAAAAAAGAAACAGACCAAGTTCTTTGGAGAATGTGATGATATGGCTCACAAGTGTCAGTGGAGCAGCATACATTTTCATCAGCAGAAAATGTCATCCTGTGTTTTTAACCAGAGGAGAACTACAGGATTGTATAGTCAATGGACTAAATAATTCCAAAAGTACTTCTGGTTCATTATGTACCAAAAAGGACATTCTTTCAGGCGACATCTTCCCAAATCTACTATTCACCTGGATCCCTGGGGCAAACACGCATCTCCATTTACCTTATAAGAGCAGGTAATGAATTATCTCACTCTTAACTCACTAAGGTCACTGTATTCTGAAATAAATCAAAATAGAACCATGAGAGATAGTCTATCAGTCTTACAAACTGTTTCAATGATAGATATATGAAAAGTGCATGTGTACTGGTAAAACTTTTACTTCCTCATTTCATCTTAGCATTCTCTCAACACAATCTTTTTTCTTAAGATACGATCCAAACTAAACTTAACAGGGAGGTTTCCATTGACCTCAGCAAGCTTTGAATTAGACCTGTAAATTAGATTCTGACCCTTTTCACAGGATTTATGGTCTTTACAGCCTATCCCTGCAAAAGTAGGACATTGTGAACTCAGTGTTTTATGCATCTTAAAATAACTGCCGACAGATAGTGCAAACTATCCTGTTCATTTAAGCATATCCCTGAATCCTGGTTATTTGTCTATCTAATTCCACTGTAACTGACCCCTTGCCCCTGATTATGCTGCCTTCTCCACAGTAGTTCTAGGCCACCTGTCTTGTTGTCAGGGTAGGAAGCTCAGGAGAGAGGAAGAGTAACTGTTTGGCCATCTAATGTCATATTAATAATTTAAAACATAGTTTTAGCAATTTTTTTTTCTTATATTATATGAAAGGAAGCAAAAAAAATGAATGGATAGCAGTAGTCATCCTTGACTATTGTAATATTGAACACTAGTTAATATTTAAAGAATATACACATTCATACGCAGAGAGAATTTTTCCCTAACTCTCCACAGTTCAGCCATAACCTCAGTTTATAACCACCTTCCATACTTGGTTCAAACTGAAGTGATTAGTCAAACTACTTGACAGACCAGCCCCTCAGCTTTATCATTCAGATATTGATTTAAGCAAATACTCCAAAACCCAATAATTTTTGCAGAGTTAAAGTTCTTGCTTTACTAAAGAACAGAAGACTAAAGGAAAGAGATAAATCATTAGCCTGGAACTTCAAACTATCACGATAAGAATCATGTAATCCCAGGTTAGGTCCACCCTGAGCAGAAGCAGCTGCTTCAGTACTCTACCCCTAGAACCCCAGACTGTCCTGACTTGGAACAGACCCACTAGAATCATCAAAGTCCAACTCCTGGCCCTGCACAAGCGACAAGAATCATGCCATGTGCCTGAGAGCATGGTCCAAATGCTTCTTGAACTCTGCCAGACTTGGTGCTGTGATCACTTCCCTGGGGAGCCTGTTCCAACACCCAACCACCCTCTGGGTGAAGAACCTTTTTCTAATATCCAACCTAAACTTCCCATGACACAATTTCAGACTGTTCCCTTGGGTCCTGTCACTGGTCACCAGAGGGAAGAGATCAGTGCCTGCCCCTCCTCTTCCCCTCACAAGGTCTTCCCTCAGTCTCCTCTTCTCCAGGCTGAACAGACCAAGTGACTTCAGCCCCTCCTCACATGACTTCCCCTCAAGGCCCCTCACCATCTTCATTGCCCTCCTTTGGACACTCTCTAATGGCTTAATGTCTTTCTTATATCGTGGTGATCAAAACTGCCACAATATTCAAGGTGAGGCCTCACCACTGCAGAGCAGAGCGGGACAATCCCCTTCCTCAGCTGTCTGATAATGCTTTGCCTGATGCCCCCCAGGACAGGGTATAGCACAAGGTACAGCCCTGTATCCTCACATGATGATGGCAGCCCTTGGAGGAAAACAAACAAAACCAAAACAACTCCCCTGTGAATCACCTAGCTCAGCCTTTTTCTGCTTTGGAGTTTCCTTTGGCAATAAGCAAATTCCTCTTCCACCTGCACATCTCAGCTATAGCATTCAATGCCAGGAGACAAGGTGTGTGATGGAAAAAAACATCACATCCTTTTTACAGCCAGTTACACAGGAGAACGACTGGAATGGAGCACAGCCTTGCAGGGGACACCCAGTCAGTGCCAGATGTCTGACTTCATCCTGTAAAAAGAAGAGGTAATGTTAAACCACCTGCCAGTAACTCACAGGCAACTCTTCAATGGAATACCCTTACTGAAAAGGATTACAGCCCCCCGTCACACCTGTAAAGACCCTCGCAAAGAGGTGTTCTGATTTAGCAGCATTTTAAACACACTGTTTGGAGGCTTAAGTGAGTCCACAAAAGTGAGGCAGGGAGAAGCCAAGGGTATCAAACTCATATCAGCATTTCTACAGTTATGGGGAGACTGGTGCTTTAGCAGGAAGCCTTTATGGCACCCACACTCTCTGCTCAGACAGTTTTGCAGCACTCTCATTCAACCAAATTTTTTACCGTTAATATGATGTCATACTTGGGGGAAAATGCAGACAGAACTGAAAATCTTCAAGTCAGCTATTGAAAAAGAGTAGTTAAGTATTTCTTGTTTGAGATGTTTGACTGATATATTGAATCAACCAATCTATGGGATAAATTTCTGTTTGGAAAATAAAACACTTTACCTGACCCCAGCTGGTACAATTGGAGAATTCAGGTTTTATTTATAGCTACTTTAAATTACTGACCTGTCAGGGTGACTTCGCTGTCCTTTGATACTCTGCTTTGCCATAACTGCAGAGATTTTCATTGTTTTGAGCTTCACTGTTTCCAGAGTTTGCAGTGAGTTTCTGTATTGAAGGCTCCCTTTTGGTGCCTCTAGGTTTTCCACAGTGTTTTCTAACAAATAGATCTGATTTTAATTAAGGAAGGTAAAGAAATAGATCAGCTGCTCTATAGTTATACATGCCCCTGGTCAAATCTTCTGTCAGAGGAAACCCAGTGGCAACAAAACATCTCCACAGCAGAACACAGCCAGACTTATACAGAGAGGCTGAAACAGTCTTGGTTCACAGAGATTTGTGATGCATTTTGATTCTCCTATACCTCCTCAGGTAAAAAATACTCATTTACTAAAACTCCACTGATTCAATGGATGAATCTTTCAAACATGATTTTTTATGCCTACTCTTTTGAAAGGCACGAGTTAAGAAAGTCAAAATTGACCTAGAAACTGAACAACACATGCACCTATTTAGCATCTGAATAACTTGTAGTTAAGTATAAGTATATATGACTAATACAAGCATTGTGATAAACTGATGTGTTGTTGGAATTTACACAAAAAATAATTACCTAGAGCTTTCGTAGAAGTAGAACAAGAGCAGAATTATCACACTGAAAATAAATGTAGCAAAGTTTTCTAGGCAACCTTGACAGCTGTCTACTGGTGGGAATTTACTGCTGTGCATGTATGGAATTAATCCATAATTTAACATCCATGCTAGCTTACATTTCTTTAGAAGTCTTTTTTCCTACTTGATTGACTGATATGACCCTTCCCTCACATCAGCCAGGATACCATTATTTATGTGATAACAACCTCAATTTGCAAATTACTTAAATCTAATGGGGCTTTATTTCATTACCATACTGGCTGTAATTCCAAGTCAACATTCATTACTCACATCGTCCCATTTTAATGCAAACAACTATGCATTGCTGAGAAGTTATGTATAATATCCTAAATATTTGACTATGGAAGAAACGTGCACTTTTGCCTAGAAAAAAGTAAGAAAAAACTCAACATCATTCTATATTATGTAAACAAATAGAAATCTGAATTCAGGACTTCCTTGTCCTACAATCATATAGGACATATAATTAAAGAACCATCTCTCCAGACAATGTTCTATACAGTAAGGATGTATTATTTGACTTACATATCTGCTTCCTCACCATATCAAGTGCCTATCTAGCCACAAACTGCTGTTTTCTTCCCCCTTTCAAGCCCTAAAGAATCAATTACTGCAGTGTGTCGTTAATTCATTTCCAACCTGGGTCATACAAACATTTCAGTCAGAACTCATTTTTTTCCACACTGCCAAGGAGCGACCAGGCAAAGGGGGCACAGTACATGCTTCCATGGATCTGCCTCAAAATCAGCACTTCTCCAAGTCCAAGTGACACATAACATCCTGTGTAATGAGCAGAATGACACGTTAATTATTCTTGCATCGGTAAGGACAGCAAAAAATCCACCAACAACAAATCAAAACTAAACAGTTCGATGAAGTTCACTACTATTTGCAACTCCACTGCACTTACAGACTGGATATCCAGCCAGTCTGCATATCTGGCTCCAGAGATAACTTCCATATTTCTCTTAGGGATTAAAGTTCATATGTTAACTCAGAATCTGGGCATGACCAGCTGCTTTCCAAATATGACTTTTGTTCTGTCAGCCTGCTTCCAGTCCTAGAACAGATGAACATTATAGTTCATTGCTTCAATTTTTTTTCCTTGTATGGACAGCTCCTGTTTCCTACGTTTAATTGCATCTTTGTGGATTAACGCCCTTCAGCTCAGATCCTGGTTTCTCTCTCCAACAACAGAAGCTGGAACCTTATCTGGTTAGTCTTTCCCACCCAAAGCAGTTAACTGATAGCAAGAAGGCAGCAAACATAAATGTACAATGTGCCTAATAATATGTTTCTAGCAAAAACAGGTCCCTTTCCAAAAATTCATTTAGGTAAGTAAGCAAGTGAAGCTCTCATGATTTCTTCAGAAGTTTTTCTTATACGGGTCACTGCCCATGAACTACTAGAAAGTAACCCATCCATTTACTTTGAATGAGCCTTGGCAAATAGTCAGGAACACTCAAAAATCTCATGAAATGCCAGGGGCTCTTTTCCATTTCCCGTATTTGGTACATTTCACACCTTCCAGAGGATGCTTATTTAGGCATAGGAAACCACTTCAAACTGCTTTATCAGGAGCCAACCATTCAGAGACTGAAACTTTACTCCCAGAATTCTGCAACCAGCAAATTATAAGCCAGGAATCCTGAACTAAATAATTCACTTGGTAACAGTGTTAACTTTAGCAAATGCACAAAACCACCAGAATCCAGGGAGGAATTGTTTGCAACTCACCATGGTAACAGTGCACCAAGGCCAGCTATCAAAACTCACCCCTCCCCACTAAATGACTTGTCTTGCAGGAATAGACAGAATATCAACAACCCTCTCCCCAGCCTCCTTTTAAATACTAATACAGATTTCAGTACCACACTTTGCAAATAACACGTAGGTTGTTTGTGGTGTTTTGTCACTGTTTGTTTCTCTTCTTTTTTAAAAAATTTGTCTTTCTGCACTTAAAGGGAACGCTGAAGAGCTCTTCGTGCAGCCCCTCTCCAGCTCAGGAACAGGCCCAGCCTGCTCCCATTAATGTCAATAGAAGTCTCACAATTGACTTCAAGGGGGAAGAGAATCAAGCCTTGTAGAGTGCAGGAGTACACTGTTAAGTACAATAATATTTGTTTCACCTTCACCCATCTTAACCTCTTAAAAGGCTTAAATTTACAGGCAACAGTGTCTGCTCCTCTCAAAGGGGTTTTGCAAATGCGTAGCATTAATCTGGCACTTGATTTTCCACTTGAGCTGGTGCACACAATGAGGCAAAGAGCAGCAGAAAGGTATGTTGGTAATGACTCCCACTGATAAATCCATACATATTTTACATTGGAGTGTGACCCTTACACAGATTAGGCTCTTATTTTCCCACAAAAGGTGATTTGCATCTAGCTGGCTTCCTTCCAGATGGTGACCAGAAAGTGCACCAGGGAGGCTTGCACCAGACACCCTCAACATTCTAATAGCCTCAATACGGCTTTTGGATTTATGGCTAAATCATCCCATTAGTACACAGCTCTATTACAATACAACTGTAAATGTAATTACGTGAGATAAAGGCTACCCTTCAGCAAGGACAGCTGCAATAGCACTAACACTTTATTCTTACCTGATTCAGCATATGCTTTTAAACTCATGTATTTTGAAATAGGAAACAAGAAAAATGTCTGTGTCACACCATAGTGAACACTACACATCTGCTAAGCATTCTTCTGATGAGTCTTCTTGCTCTGAGTCCTCACGTATCTTCCACCTTTATCTTATACTTTCGATGTATTCATTTATTACAAAAAATATTTCTATGGTATCCCATTTCTTTCTAATGTAACATCATCAAAGATAAAAGTAATATACAAGTTCAAGAACTGCATCCTTTTCTGCATCTATACAGAGAATCTATACTTGCTGCAAGCTGTATGTCCAAAATGTATTGCAGTGATTTTGTTCAAATATGTTTAAAGTAATGCATCTATTCATTCTCAGGTATGGTTTTTCGGTAGATAAGTCAAATAAAACAACTTCTCTGCTTTACCAGGGAAATGGTTGAGAGATATTTGACTCCGTCCTGCCCCAATCCATCTCTTCTGATGAGACTGAAGAAAGCAACTTCTGTCTCCCTGCGCTCTCTCTCAGGTGGGCTCCACGCTCCCAGGCAGTGGGGCTGCAGGGCTGCTTTGCCCTTCCCTCTGCTGTCTGTGCTCTGGCATGAGACCCATGGATTTGGCCCTAAACATCTGTCAATGCAGGTGTTAGTTGATGCAACTGCTTCTCAAACAAATGGGTTCTTTCCTTCCGGCTGCTCATCAATTCCTTGGGTCCTGAGTATTCCTAGTTCCTTTCTTTCCTGCTGGCACTCACCAATGGATCTGACTCACCTAATAGATGAGTGATGCAATAGTTTTCTCTTAGCAAATATATTACTGCTCTGAAGCCTCCTGTGTACATATATTTTACGTGAAGATGGCCCCTCTGGGCCACTTCCCTGCTAGCCAGTGACGGGCAGTTATCTTCACACTAGATCATTTTACAATCACTCACATTTATAGCTCCCTCCTTCCATCTGACAGTGCTTTACAGAGGAGCTTGCTAATTCTCAGATTCCAGGCACCCCTTTCAACAGAAATTACTCTGTGACTTAATTACAGAGAAATTAATTATACCTGATCTGCAACATAGGTTTGTCCTGCTCATTTTGTCCTGTTTCCTCAGGCTGGAAACACATCACTGTTCATTGCTTTTAGTGAAAAAGTCACTAAATACCCCTACTTACTAAGCAGCAGCCTCATATTTGCTGATGATCATTCTCTCATTTAACTTTTGGAACCGAGACATTTTTCGTGCTGCAGCACAGGTTCTCCTCAGGTTGCAGGTCCCACACAGTGGCTGCAGGAAACCAGAGCAGAGTTAGGATTTCATGTCACACACAAATAAATCCACCCTTGTAGCGTGTTCAGAGCTGCATGACAGAGGTGATCTCTCCTATTTACTGTCTCAGCACACTCCCTGAATGAATACAGCTGCACCTTGGAAGTTTAGCAGATCATACCATTTACGACTTTTATAAAGAGAATTAATGCAAAGTATAAAAACAGAATCGCTGAACGGAGAGCACAAAAAAATCATTGCATTCCCCCAAGTCTGAGTAAAGTACACTATTCTTGAATGTAGCAACACTGGCAGAGCTGGTATTGACCTATCATAGTGTTCTGCAACCTCCTGTCCAACACCCTAATATCACCTTACACCTCAAAAATTAACTCTGTACTGACAGAAACCATTATAAAACTAATATGACTTGAAACCATTCATCAACAGTCACACAAACTCTGTTTTAACTAATGAGCCATTCTTATCAATTATGTAATGTTCATTGTCTTTAATGTTCAAACATCTCAATAGCAGCATATTCCAAAAGTCATTAATATTCAATTAGCTCAAAGCCTTCACATTTGCATATTAATATTTGCTTTATAAGTCCCACAGAAAGGTATTTGAAAGGCTAGCAGTGCTCTGATCTTGTAAAAAGCAAAAATGTTAGGATTATTAGATTTTGAACACCTTTTAGGCAATGCTTCTAGAATCACAGATCCTCATGCATTTTTTCCCTAAACTCTAGATCTTCCACTGAGAAATCAGACTTTAAACAGTTTGACGCTATTACTGGTGCAGTCACATAAACCAGATTGAGGATGTACAACCTACAGTATTGCAAAGCAAAGAAATAGTCTAAAATAATGGATTTTTCCAAGCAAAATTCCAAATACATTCAGGGCTAAAGCACAATATTGATTTTGCTGCTTCTGTGAATGTATCAGAGACATTTCCTCACAGAACAGAGGTGTAAATGATGGGAGGGACTACCTTGATCACCCTGAAGTCCTAAACATATTTAGTAGATGTTAGATTAAAATGTAAAACCAACACCCATTCTGCCCATACATACACTCACAGCAGTGGAAAAACTCTCGCAGCCTGTAACGTATATCTTTAGTATAAAAGATAAAAAACCCCTTCAGACATCACACAGAAATAACAAGAAAGTGTATTTAGCAGCACTGAAGGTCTTGCACTTTCAGGGAGCCACAGTGAAGCAGCTGAACTAAGCCCAGGAAGTGAACTTTGCTCCATAAACCAGAAGAGCACAGAAAAATAAAGATCCCAACAGCCTGTGCCAGCGTAAACAAGGATGAGAGGGTGGGAGAGAATTCCTTACTCTCCTCAAATCTGGCAACTGCATGACAGATGGCAGTCCCAAGCATGGGTGGAAAACATAAACAGGATCATTAAGATTTCCTATAGGAATGGCAGTACAGCATGTTCAGACTCTCATCTTCAATTCCTAGCAAAGAAAAATAAAAAAAACCCAACAAATGTAATGATGAAAAAATCTGAATGTATGAGGGAAGAGATAGGGGAAAGAACTCTTCTTCAATCCTTCAGGGACTTAGTGGCAATCCTCAACTAATATAATTGATTAAAACGAAAAAGACACTCAGTTTAACAACTCTTTCTAATCCATTTAAAGTATTCAAGAACATCCTAGCCTTGAATATAACTCTTTCCTTGAATTTGTCAGGATCCACTTTCAAATGCTGTGTTCTTTAGCCTTTTGCTTTACTTCCAAGTTAATTTCCTAACTTCAGTTCTCTTGTTTCCAAACTCGGTAGTGGTGCTGAACTAGCCATAAAAGCATTGCATGGAGCACATCCTTACTAATGGATTACTTTAAGAACATTCAGTAGCACAGAATAGTGGAAATTTATAAACTGTATTATCATTGTTTTCTAAAGTAACAAGAGGTATTTAATTACTATCAAAACTTCACACATGGCTTCCAAGCACAAGGTGTCAGGACTGTAAATGTTATCTGGAAAAGTCCTTTAAAAAGGGACCTCAGAAAGTGCAAGATGTTACGTAGAAAATATGTGTAAGAGTTTAAAAAAATTCCCCCCTCCCCCTCAAGAACCTCACTGGTTGCCATTTTCAGACATCAGTCCAATCCAAATAACCCCAAACTTTCCTCTTATGTCTTCCCCACCAAGCCAACCAGATACATCTATCAGCCTCATTTCTCCCCCTAAGGAGGTCAGTTTTATCTTAGCTTTTTCATCCTCATTGTTTTATGCTAGCTTTATCCTCAGCTGTAATGCTGCTTCTCATTTCCTCTTCCCTAAATAAACAGAAAATTAGGTTTTCAGTGCAGATACCAAGTCCTATCTTCTTTCTTCCCTGCCAAAAATAACTTGTTTCAGTGAGCTTGCTGGAATCATCACAGTGCTCAGATTTAGAAAGGCTGTTTTTATAGCCTGTTTAAACAATATATTGCAGCTGGTCTGAACCAAACCAGAAATACCCACACAATCCTTGTTAAGCTACTGTCTCCACAGTTAGGAACCTAAACTCTATGCAATCCACATGGCATTTCCTTTAAAGCCCCTTCCGTGATCATTTCAAATGCTTAACAAATACCATCCTACTCAACTACAGTTAGAAGACAAGATTTGCCACGAAGGCAGAATGTAATCTGCAAAGTCTTTATTCTTCTTGAAACAAATTTGAAAGAACTAAGTTTATTTTTGCTCCCACCACTTCATTTCTGGTTAATTAGATGGTGTATTTCCTCACCTGCAAAGGAACAAAGCAGAACAACTTAATTCAATGCCATTGAGCAGCACATTTCAGAGCTGAACAGAGTAACATGGAAAACACATAGAAACTGTCTCCAGAAACACTATATGACTATAAAACTCCACTTTGTACACAATATAAATATCAAGTGCCTTACGTCAGGACCCTGCAAGTAAATCTTAACTCACTATGTCAGTATTAAGACAAAATTTCAGGTTATTATATGCAAATAGCATTGCAAAAGGTATTGGAGATTTCCTCCAGCAATCTCTGAGCTAATACCATACATACCTTTCACCACTACATTTTACTCATTCACGAGAATTCATAAATGTGCTACAGCCCTCTTACACCAATTAATTTCTTAGCACAGGATTAGCATGTTACAGATTGTTACAAACCTACATTGTATCAGGCACCTAATGCTCCTGAGCAATGTCTTCCAAAAATGTAAAGTCAATTTGCAAATGAGAGGCATTTGCTTACCCTGAGCTATTATATTGGGACTTATATAATAATTGGGACTTACAAATAATTGGGACTTATATTCGGATACTGCACGGTTTGGGGAGTTTTTATCTTTCAGAAAATGACAATTAAAGGCTTTAGGCTCAGAGCAGGTGTTAGTGCTTGTTTTCAGAATACAGTCAAGGTTTCTGTTCCTCAGTTGATTGTTCTTCCAACCTTACTTCAAATATTCTCCACAAAACCTGCTGCCTGCTAACTTTTGTTGCTGGCAATGCCAGTATCAAGGTCACCCATCAATATACATCAGTTGTACATGGCTTTCTTTCTTCCCCCTCTGAGACTGGAATTACAAAAGCTCTTCCTGCATTTGTAGCACAGGTCTGTGTCTTGCAGAGGATATTTTCAGAGCCTACACCTTGTTTTAGTTTCAATAACTTTCAATAACATCTGACCACTTAAGCTTCCTATTGATAATGGTGGAGACTAACACAGCCACCCCTATTTAGTGCAAGACACAAACATCCTTTTCTCTTCTTACTGCACCTTTTGCTGCAAACACTCCAGCTCAGTTCTACTTTTCAGCTTTTATTCTTGCACAGGGATTTGAGAAAGAAACAAAGAAACAACTGCCCCTGGAACACTGCAGTGCACATTCTTTTTTAGCCTACTTATCCTTAACTGTCAGGTGTTTTATCTCAATTTTGTTACCTATGAGAAAATTCATTGCAAGTATCTTTCACTGACAGGTATATTTATAATCTTGGATTTCTGCAGCGGTCCAGCCACAAACAATTAGACCATTGCATTCAAATGTACAACTGCTATTCCTGCTCCAAATCCGCTGAGAACCCTCCTGCAATTCCTTACTATGTATTTTCCACATAGGCCTGCATGCAAATGAAGCAAAATAATCTGCTCTTTGCTAGGACTGTATGGAGCCCTAAACAGCCTGATTGGATTATGAGATGTTAAGACTTCTCTCAGTTAAGTTTACATTTTAAAGACTGAAAGATTCCTAAATTTCTAATCACCTATTCCCATATATTCTGTCCACTCTTTCCATTACTCATGATTCATTCAGATACTTCTGTCTTCAACCTGCCTTTCTCCTGGATTCATTTTCATCTGCAAACTCCTTCATGACTATTAATTTACCTTCCTTTTTATTCTAAAGCCCTCCAGCTTCTTCTCCAGTATCTCTCAATTTACTGTTATTCATAAGCTGGTTTTCCTTCCCTTTTATACATCTTCAACCATGCAACTGAATGCATGCACTTACATCTTTCACCTGTCAAGTGTGATGAACTCTAAATAAATATTTAATATATTGTTTTAGGACACATAATTTTAATAAATTTTACAAATTATATAAAATATAATTATATAAAATGTAACCTTAAAATTATGTCTGTTTTTACACCTCTGATACAGCAAGGCATGTATGTAAAAAAAGTTAGTCTGTTAGGAAGGTTGAATGCTGTTGTATCAAATAACAGCTCACATTTCTTGAAAAGCTCTTCCACAGCCTACAAATCTCTGTTTTGCTTAATTTGTCATGAATTATCCCTGAATAAGCACCGCAAAGATCTGAGGACTTACAAGCAGCATTAACTTACATGTTCTACATTAATAGCCTAGCATTTTACCCAAATACCACTGCTTTTAGGCTTTATTTAGTTCTCCCCAACCTCCAAATGATAGAATATTACCAAATTTCTTAGCAATACTAAGTAAAGCATAAAAATTATTTATTGTGCTACTTTCCAGAGAAGCCAATATAACAGACAATGCTTAGGACTAGGTAATAAGTGTTGAGGTTACCACATACATTACCCCTTAAAAATTTATATACACCAAATGGAACAGACACTAATCTCAAACATGCCAGAATAAAATCTTTGCAAGCAATATCTCGTGTTTTTCTGCCATTTTTCCGCTTTATGTTTATTCCACATCTGTTGTAGCAGAAAGAAAGTGGAATCTGGCCCAAAGGTTACTTCTAATAAATCCTTTCCTTTATTAGTAGAAACATTGTTATTCACAATGCAACATATGTTCCTCTAATTACATTTTTGAGCAAAAGTATTAATGACATTTTGGCCATATATCTACTTATCCTTTTCAGAGCAAGTTTTCTTTTCACACATTTGCATTATATAAAGTTCAGAAAATTATAATTAAAAAATAAATAATTATTAATTAAAAGTTTGGGATCTCAATACCTCTTATTTGCAGTAAAACAGAAGCCAAATGCAGACCCATCCAATGATTTTGAGCAGCACTCAGCTACTGAAAAGCATTTTTATGAATATTCCAACATAATGTATCCTTTTGAATAACCTACTTTCTAATGGTGCACCTTCATCAGGATATGAACCAAGTAAAATTTAAATGTTCATCCCTTCTTACCTTTGTAAATCCTTAAAGTATGGAGAAGTAAAATGGGATGGGAATTTGAAACGGAACATTTCAGTGTTTCTGAGTGAGAATTAAATTTTGTAATCTGGTCATATTCAACAGTATCTTTGCAAATTCTTTCATGACTGAAGTGAGGCACTGAAAAAGGAGATGCTCCCAATTATTTGTATGTTACTCCTGATAATTTTTAGTCATGCAACATGGCTTTCAAGAGTAGCAAACAAATACCAAGATATTCCATGAAAATTGCTCATATGGATCCCAATACAAACTTGGATTAGTATTATTCTAGAAATGAAAACAAGTAGACCACACTAAAAACTAGTATAAATTCAAAATTCAGCATTTCCTTAAATCATCTAAGATCTGTACTGTCCTTGTTACCTGCTTTTCTATTATGTTCTCTGAATACTCACAAGGAAGAGCATTATTCTTTCTATTTGTGCTTTGTATTAAGCATGTGTGAAAAGTACTGTCCTTCAACTCCTCAGAATGAAATCTTCTATTTGAGTCAGGTGCACACAAATGCTTATAGAATTAACACACATGAAAAAGTTACATCATGGAAGTTTTGGGTTTGTCTTACAAGTGCCACTATAAAGTTTAAAAGTACCTCATTCTCCCATTTATTTCAAAAGTGCTTCTAAATAGCCCTGAAAAACATGGTAAGAGCCAAACACATTCTAAATGCTTTCTAAAGAAAAATAAATTGACTTAAACATTAACATCAATAGTTCTAGATTAAAGGACCACAAATATGATCACTGCTGATTAAACCAGTGAGACCCACTTAGAACAAGAATTCTCATCTGCTAGGAAGAGGGGAAATTTGTTTCATGCTGTATACTAAAAGAATACCTTCTGACTTTTAACAGTGTGGGTTGGATTTGAATGTGATCAATAGTGCATTTCATCACCAACAACCTTCATTATTTAGTTTCCTTAAACAATCTCTCTTAATTTTCTGCCACAGGCTTGCCCTTGAATTATCTTCCTCTCTAAAGCAAATGTCTTTCAATTCCCTTTGAATGCCAGACTTGTCCTACTGCCAGGAGGTGTGAGAGAGGAGGCTCATGGAGACTCTCACATGCTTCGTGTGAGCAGGAAGTCCTGCTCTCTCTCTTTTTTAACCAAAGAGAGCTGCAATGATGGAGGTGTGCTGACCTGCAGGAGCCAAAACATTCTCCAGTGTTTGAACCTACCTTTTTGAAGCTCTCACACGCTGCTGTCCACGTGTCCCAGTTCAGTTCTTCCAACAACTCAGAATATATATTAAAGTGGAGGCAGCAGCCTCTGCAAATGAAGATACCATCAGGTAACATTTCTTTTGTTTACTTAGCATCTATGCTGGAGTAGGAGGGAAAGAGCAGAATTCAGCATTTTTTTATTACATGTGGACCTGACTTCGTTCTCCTGATATCATTTATATCCATGGCTTTTTTCCTTCAGTAATTTTAGAGAACGTGTTCAAAGCCACAAACACAAATGACGCTAATGGTAAGATTGTGTTTGGGAGGCCATACTGTGAATTGCTGAAGGTGAGAAGAACTGCACCAATAAAAATCTCCAGGTACGTTAAAGAAGAAATTAAATACTGAATTCATACATTCCAAGCTTACATATATGAATTTTGAGATCTCTGAACGTTAAGTCAGATGCCTTGGGCTGTCAGTAGAAAGTTAAACTTGCAGACTAAACCTGCCTTAGTCCAAAAAGTGCAAACAAAGTGACCATCTGTCAGTAAACCCACATCTTGAGCATTTTGAATTTTGAGAAATTAAAAGAAAAGCAAGCTAAGTTGTTTGGGTTTTTTTTCTGCTCAGCCTAAAAATCTCCAAGAAAATGAAAATACAAGCCTTTAAATCTTTTCTTGTTAAAGTATTATAGCATATCAGCCAATATTTCCTTGAAATAATACCCAGGATAGCAAAGTACATCTCTTTCAGTAATATAAGTATAAAAAAGACATATCTCCAGGCAATCATGGAAAATGCTTTCCTGATTTAAAAATGAAAATGGTCTTGTTAGCGTTTTTGCCAAGTGGAATATCTGAAGAGAGTTATAAAACAACAACAGGAATTAGAAAATATTATTCTTCAGCTCACAACTCATGCTTTTGATTTTAAAATCAAAATCACAGGAAAAATGATAATTTAAAGCAAAAAATATACATCTATATTTTTGGGAAGTTGGACCTCATCCAAGACAGCACAGTGAGGTTTCCTGTATTTCCAAGCTTTTTATTCCTTATGGGTAAGGCCTAATTGTTAGACCTGCTTTTAGAATCAGAAATAAACTTGTGTAATTCCTTTAGAAGTTAATCAGTGGTGCCCTGAAATAAAATAAAGGTAATGTCCAGAGGTAACTCAAGGTTGATGCTTCTAATGGTTCAAACAGCAGCTCTTTCATTATTCCTGATTATGTATATAGGGAACAAAATACAAAAATAAATAAAAACCTACTTTATTCACATTTCTTATTAGCTGTTCCTATCCCCTTACAGGACTTACTCTAAAATTCTAACTCAGCCATTGACTTCAGAGAGAGTTGGATCAAGACCCTAAAGAATAAAAGCACTCGTACTTTTTTTACTCATGTAAGAATCTGAAATTAAAATTCCCATAAGATATTTCTGCATTTGAAACAATCAAATTTTGCAGCTGAAATCTCAGAAATGCAACTGCATTATTAACTAGTCACTGTAATAATGACAAAGAACGAAAATAATGAGATAGTTTCAACACAATTCACAAAACTCATTAGAGCAACTTATTTTCATCGCAAAACCTGCAGACACAGCAGCAAACGAATGAAGCTCATCCTGTCCCACCAACTGATGTTGATATGTAAATTCAGACAACACAAATGAGCACACCTGTCAGAGTTTCTCTCACAGACTGCATAAAACAGAAATAGTAAAAACTCCCAAGACCTCCCGAGACTTATTCCCTGAAGCAATGCTGCCATCTTGCGAGGGAACAGATGAAGTCAACGCTTTCATTTAATAGATATATCCTAAGTGCTGGGGAGATCCGTGAGACACAGGGGTAAGGAATCACCAGGGATGTGAGCTGGACGTTTGCTCCCCCTCCACGGACACAGGTTTTTGAAAACAGAGTGGAAATGATAAGCAATACTGTCCAGGAACTTGCTACCTTGAGTAGCAAGCAGAACACTCAACGTTGCAGTGGTAAATTCAAAACGAAGTGAAGTGACATTTCAGGCGAAAATGGAAGCAAAGGAACCACAGGCAGTCCGTGCTTACAGTTGGTGAATCCCACTCCCTTTCTTTTAACTTCCACTATGCAGCTGGTATTTTGTATTGCTGGATTGGAAAACCCAAGCAATTTTAAAAATAATAAAAAAAAAGGCATTTTGCATGGCCAGATCCATCCATCCATCTATCTTTGATAGATGGGACAGAATGCAGGTTGCTGACAAAAAACAGGCCATTGTTATTCTTGCTATAATTCAAACATTTTATATTTTTCTAATTCTCTACATTCTAACTCTCTATATCCTCATTCTAATGCACACACACCAGATTTCAAGACAATAATTACAACCACTTATAGCTGGATTGAATTTAATAGCATGGGCTGCTATTAAATGTAGACTGAAATTTTCCAACAATGCTTTTTACTTCAATGTCACTTCAAGTGCTGCACACCCTCAGCAGGAATCTGTTTTGAAAAACAAGTAAAGTAGCTTTAATATGATCAAAATATGCTCACTTCACCTTTGTGAATGGACTATTTCAGTCTTCTATTTCCATTTTTATAATGTGTAATGTAGAAAATAAAATTTTATCATGTTTCACTTCGTGAAAGTAACAAGAAAATTTACAGTATTCTAATGACCGTATGCCATAGAGTCTGCATACACACTCAGCTTTCACCTGGGAATACTGAAAAAGCTCCTAACATCAATCTATTGGCACACCTAAAGATTTCCTGTGGTTAGAAAAAAAAAAAATCACCTGCTCTTCCTGGCTGCAAAATTCATATCTTCCTGCAAACCCCTCAGAGCAGAAACAGCTTCAGGTTATTTAGGTTTAGAGTTGTAGCTATAGACAGCAACCTCTCCGCTCTCCCAACATGCAAATTTGTTATATTACCAGGAGTTCTTAGAAATCCTTGCTGGTGTTTCTAAAATGAATCTGTTACTTTGCAGTTGAAGCAACTGCTGAGTAGACTGAGGATTACTGGTGTCCATCATTGCTGCATACTGTTAGATTTTATTCTTGCTCAGTCTATTACAGCTCTGGGTCTTCATTTATTCCTTGGAAAAATAGTGTAAACCACCATTGTGCTCTGTGTACGAGAGTGACACAGCTGTTTACACAAATGTAACATGTTTTGGTATGTCTTAAGGAAAGGACTACAGCCTCAATTATCAGACATTTCGGCACTTACTAGTTGAAAACTATGTGTATTTATTAGATTGCATCTCCACCCCAGCATGCACAATGTGAGCCAAGAACACCTTTTCCTACTCCCCTGCTCCTGCAGAAGGACAGGCAGAGGAGGGGGGAATTCTACCCCCCAGGCTTCCCAAAGAAGAGTTCTTCACTGGGAAACTGTAAACCAGAAAATCTGACCATATATAATTAGAAAATGCTTTTGTTGTTTGAATTACCAGCAAGATCTGCTCTTAGTAATTACTTGGAGGTACAATGAATCAAGATATATTCTTCCTGCTTCTCTGTAAAACACATTGCCTTCTATTCACTGCAACAGTGCCCCTGAATTTTTAATTCAACATACTTAAGGGTCTGGAGTCTCTAAACTGTGTACTTGGTTATTTATTTAACCTGAAACCACTGCCTAGAACAAATTGTTTAAGGAGAGATGAGATGATGATGTATGTCTCCTCCATCTGCAAAGCTGTCATGGATTTGGGGGTAACAGCCTCTGAATCCTTTGATGCTTCACACCACCAGGTTAACTCCTGTAAATATGCTTCAAAATACTTCAAAAATCCGAAAATGTTTATGGCCTAAGAAAAGAGTAGGTAAGAGGAGGGAGAAGGGATGATGTGACCCACATTCACAAACAAAATCTGCTCATTATATTTCCTGATACTGGTTACCCAGTTGACAAATTTAGATTTTTCTTCTTCGCTGGAGTTTGAGAACTCTTAAAAATATTGACTCAGGAGATGAATGTATTTCACTTGGAAAGCAATCTTACATAACCAGCATTGAAATGACCCTGTAAAGTTATGGGGCTTTGATTTTAATGTCTTTTACCTCTATATCTCCCTTCAGAATGTTAGTCTGCCCTCACATATTTTGCCTCTCCTACACACCTGAGCTTATTTTGCTGTCTTGAACCTGTAAAAAAAACAGATGCACTAGAACTGTTTAATACAGAGGACACATTTGTAAGGGTAAGATTTTTTATGAGGTGTAAGATTTCTGTTACACTATGCAAATTCATAGAGCTGAGCAGATCAATTAGCCTTCTGCTGCGAATTCCTTCTTTAGAAGTGGTCAGGATCTGCAGAAACCCTTCAAAGGAAGAGACAGTTGGAGTAAGAACTTCGTAATAGACCCCATTAAATGAGGAGGAACTTAAAAATAAGTTCAAAGCTAATGATTTAACACATAGGATTTGTCTTTTCTGATTTTTAGCAGATTTTCTGCTGATACAGAATGACACACTAAAAAGAAATAAATATACTTCTTATGGTATAGTCCAAACCAGTAATGTCATCTTCACTATCTTTAGATCAGTTTTATGACAGCCCAAGCTGTGGCTCCTGGTACGTATACACTGTTCTTCCTTCAAAATATGAAAAGCCTTAAAGCTCATCTAACTGACCAAGAACTCCTCCAAAGTCAGAAAATGCCCGGTGGAGGACTCGGTGACGATAGTCTGGGGGTAACTGTGCCCCCACGCTGCCCCTGCAGCCCAGGGTTCCCTGCCAGCCCCACGCAGCAGCCTCCTAGAAGGGCCAGGAACAGCTCTGACAACAGGGACGGCCCAAACTCTGCTCCAAACAACCCCAGAAGTTTGGGAACAAGAACTAAGAGGTCAGAACCCCTGAGCTCCTCTGAGATGATCTGAGCTTCCTACACGAATTCTCATGTCAGAACCATCTTTTCTCAGCAAGCAGTGAACATTCACGACTCTATTTGAAGTGCAAAGGGGTTGAAAAAAAAGCTACTTCCAGAGTTACAAAATTCTATTTTTTTTTTATCTCCAAAGCTTTTTTCTCCTTCTTCTTTTGAAGGAGTGTCAGTCATGGCTATATGTTTATGGGGGACATCTAGTAAAGTATCCGCAGGCTGAGTTCAGCCAAGTATCCAATAAACCTGCAGTGAGACAACCATCACCAGTACCTGCACCCATGATGAATACTCAGATTTTAACTGGCTGGGTTTTACTCTAACTGGACTTCTTTACTCAAAACCTCTATCAGCAAATAAAAGACCACTTTCTGAAACCAGAGGAATTCTTACCACAAAACTGTTTAGCAAGATAATGTTTCTAACAGTTTTTGAGTAATGTAATTCAGAAATTTAAAATATCCATATAAATTGAGGTATAGCTCCCTGCTCAGCCAAACCCATGACTAAATATGACACACCTTGTTCCAACAGATTCACAGAGTACATCAAGAGAATACTGTAATAGCAACTTTCTATACATCTATTATCTGATGTATTATACATGCTGAAACTATTTTTAGCTGTTTATACAAGTATCATAAGGAATGCAGAATTCTGCATTCCAGTGACAGTTTCTGAAAAGAAATTATTTCCTGAATTAACGGCTAAAGATTCTGACCTATTCAGGGTACAGTTGGTCCTCTCTTAAAAAAATTATTTTAAAATAGTAAGTGCTTCACCTTGCAGGTATAATTTAACGTATTGCAAACATCAAGTAAAGAATGACTACTTACCTAAAGTAAGGTTTTAAGAGATATTTTCCTTGATAATGTCCACAATTGTCAATGCCATACACAACAAATATAATTGCTTAAAAGAACATTATCTGCCCAAAAAGAGATTTAAGAAAAACTACATTAAAGAAAATAATAAAATAAAAAGTTAAAAAGACAATTTTTTTTGACCACTAGGTTGCTCAAAAACATTAATTACTAGAATAAATGACCTTCACTTGAACTACTCTCCATACTTTGCTAATTGTTTATAATGATGGTTCAGTCCCACCAGAATTAGGTGAAAACAGCTCAGTGTCTTCATGCTGAAGTCCTTAGTGTTAAATTGAGATCTTATCCTTCTGACTGTTCACTTCAAAGTGCTACCAAATTAATTGCAAAGGCTCTATAAAAAAATAAGGCATAAATAAGGCAGCTCTTTCCATAAGGCTGGAGCATCAATCAGGCTTTTGAGGAACAGCTTAATGTCTGCTTACAAAAATAGAGGAATAAATCCTCAAAGGTATTAAACTTATTACAGGAATACCTAAACATCCACATTTCAGCATGTTAATTGAAAAAAGGAAGAATTTCTACTCTGAGAATGTTACTACACAAGAAACAAAATACTATCTCTACGTAAGAACTCTAGGAAAGGCAGATCAAAATTAGCAAGCAGATAAGTTGGCATAGGGGAAGGGAGCAGAAGTGTAGAAATGTAAGAATGATGGCCCATTTTCTGCACTGTGATAGTAACTTTCCCAAATTAAAAAAAAAAAAAATCTCTTGCCTTCTCTATTTCCTGCATGTTAGCTTCACCTTGCCTGTTTAATCAGGAATGCTTCTACCATCAGTACTTCACCAAATCTATTTATGTCCATCTGCTTAAGAAATTTCACTTTCGCTGTTGTTCAGTGAAGGAAGTCAACCCCAATCAGTCTGGCCTTGCTAGTTCAGGTAGCACTTTAAATAATAAAAGGCTTATCATGTATCTGTGCAGAAAAAAAATTTAGAAAAAATCCAGTTTACCCAAGGCAGCAAGTTTGTAATTAATGATCATTACAGAAGCTTGTATTTGTGTCATGGTGACTGTGCTATCCCAGGTATTTCATATTCCTTCTACATATTGCACACAAATCAGCAATAGCTCAAGGAATAGGTCACTTGCCTCAATCCTATGAATGGAACAGGCACACTAAATCTGATAGAGATCACAAAACCAGAGCAATGAAGGTGCACTCCTCATTGATCCTTTCTCTGGATCCCTCTGATAGGAATACAAGGTCTTCCCATCTACTCCCAACATCTGAGAAAACACGTGGTTTTCCTTTCATTGGCAACACTGAATCTGACATCTACATAAACAGGGATCTGAAATTACTGTATTTTACACATTGAACAAAGTGCATTTAATACTTATCCTTCCTTGAATATTTATTTGCACTTTCAAACCCAGTAGAAGTCAGTCTAGAAAACACAAGTACCTTATTATCTGAATAACGAGGTCTTCAGACAGTGAAAAGTAAAGCAGCTTGAGTATTTCACAAAGACCTAGAAAAGAGAGGGCAAAGTTAAGAGAAGAGCAGCTTTCCACTGTTCTGTTGGGAGCTATGCCTTAAAATATTTAAGAAGGTTACATTTGGAAGTTTAAAAAAGAATATATGGGTTCTGCAGATTGCTAGAAGAAGGAAAAGGATCGTTTTCCCTGCATATAAATGAAATACTGAATTTCAAAGTAATGTAGAGCTCTGTAGAAAATATGCAAGCACCACTAAATAAGAGCCTTATTTAAATAGCTGCATTGTTTAAATCAAAATCAAGCAGGAATTCTTTTGATGAAAAATAAACTAATTTGCCATAAAAATAAGGTATTAACAAGACAAGTAAAATACTTTCATAATATTTTTATTATTTTTGGACTAGTGTTAATTTTATTTTTTTAATAGCAAGAACACACAACATTTCTTTGTCATACTTTAAACTCCTTTAAATTTGCTAGACCAAAATCCAACAAAGTTTCATTCATTTCAACTTTCTGCTCTCTTATTCCCTTTTCCCAAAACCAAAGTCAAAACACTACCAACTACACAGAAACACAGACTTGCTAGGCAGTCCTTGAAAATAAATACATTTTAAGAACAGTCTAAATATAACCTGCCCTAAGTTATTGAAGGACTTCAATGATACCCAAGATGCACACAACATGGTACCAAGGACACTTCCTAAAATGTCATAAAAGAACAGCATAAAGGTTCTTCTATGATGCTGAAAAAATCCTTGCCTGTTTAACTGACCTTTCTTTCCAGTTACAGAACATTAACATTGAAACATGGTCACTAAACTTCAGTTACTCAGCTAAGAACCTAATTAAACTATTCCCATTTTAGAAATTACAAAAAGCTATAGTCTTATAACACATCTTAACTGGCTGATGTTGTAGAATGGAGCAGAGAGGCCCCTGGGCATCATTGTACAGAAGGCTCATGGAGAATACAGACCTCAGTAAGGTAAATCAGGTATTCTTTATCTCTGCCAGAGGTGTAATAATTTCAGTATAAGAGCACACTTCTTCAGAACCCACTCACTGCATTCTGCTATACTGAAATAAATCAGCCTTCACAACTACCACTGAATCCATGCAAATACATTCCTTTTAGTTTGATCAGCGGTGGAACAACAAAGATGTTTCAGTCTTATTAAATTCCTGGTGGGTTTTCTTTTTTTCCCCACCCTCTTTTCTGGCACTGGATTCATGCCTGATCTTCTGGAAAACTCAGCATCTGAATCACCTCTCACTGTACAGAAACAGGATTAATTAAGCAGTATCTGAACACAGTTTACACCCCATTAAATATCTGTGACTTGGTGAAATCACAATTTTCCCTTTCCTGTGAAAATACTACACCTGCAGGAAGATGTTTAGTGGATCCAAATGTTTACATATGCTTAGAAAATATGTGAAAATGTCACTAGTAGCTTCTAGTGAGGAAAGCACTCGTTATCACTTGTTTTAGTTCTGCAAGGCAAACTGAGGTCTAGTCACTGAGTCAGTCTGTAGATACTTCCCTACTTAAAGAAGCGGTGGCTAAGGCTGAAGAGCTGAGAGAGGTCTCTGTTTGCATTGCACACTCTCGTGTTGAGGATTTTCTCTTCCCCATCTCACTGTCACGCCACAATGAGAAACCCGAAATCTCTTCACCACAGGTTTCTCTGTTCCGAGACCCCTGAGAAAACTGTAAAATACCTCTCTAGCACAGGGGAAGAGAGGTGGGAGGTGGGGAAACAGTTTCAACTTCTATGTTTGTCTGTTAAAGTTTTGTTTACTGAGCATTACTGGCAAAAACAACTTCTGGATTTAGAAAGCTCTTGTCTATGATCAAAACTACTGGAAGCTGAAGCAACGTGCAAACTTCTGTGACAAGCTCCCTTATCCCATAGGCTTCCTCCACTGAATGCAAGGCCTGAGCTTTAGGTTTTCATTCCCAGTCCTGCTGGACTGGGTGACAAAAGAGACACTGTGCTGCCGTACAGCTGTTTATTCCAGCAGCACTGGCTACTCGTAAACAAGGAACAGAGGCGTCCTTATGCCATTTCCTGCTCTCCTCAAACCTCGCTCGAATTCCACTACCAAAACAGCTCCCAGCAGAGTCACGGACCTCCTGTTTGCAAGGTGTCTCACACCTACTGCTGTCTCTGGGATTCGGTACATCAGGTTCAGTTTTCTCAGCAACAAGACTTTTGCAATAAAGAAAGGAGGCAGAGATGGTTTTGTGCACTTGATATGAAAGTTTTAGCGTTTTTATAATAGTATTTTTTATCAAAAAGTTTCTTAATTATCAGTGTCTACTGCAATATCAGGAAGTAGCTTTACTGCTTTTGCCTTCTGTCCTATAAAGGCACGCAGGGAAATGTTTTGGTTCTTCCCAGAATCTCACTGGATACAGAAATATAACAAAAAAAACAGCTGGACAGTATCACGCTTATTCTTTTAAAGATGTTCATTCCTTTTATGATCAGCATCATGGCTACCCATGCATCCCCCCATGCACACGGATTCTCAACTTTCTCTACTTTTCCCTTCGTCTCCCATTATTTTCCAAACCTTTTGGATTTGCCTTTCACTTTGTTATGTCCTTTTCTGGGCAGTTCTTTAACATCATGCTAACCTTCAAATTTACATAAATTAAGCAAGTTTATTTCCTTCTTTCAGGTTTAATTTGAAGAGCTGAGGAAAAGAGAGAAGTCTTGAAACTAATGTGAAAAAAATCCAGTATATATAGTAACATGCAAAATTTTAAATGTCATGAATTGCATCGTGCATGGTAAAGTCTAATGTTCCCATGCACTTATGTCATGCTGTTCCCACACTTGAAATTTCCATATTCTTTTCACGTGCTTTCTGATGACATAACCATCCCTAAGCACAAGGAAACATTGCTAATACACTGTTAGAGCACACTATTAAAATAAAAATAGTCTCTCTGCAGACCCAAAGAGATGTTAAGCTGCTCACATCAACCCTCTCAGCACAGTGATAGAGGAAGGTCTAATGGTGCCCTCAAGAAAATGTCATTTAAAAAACTCCAGCAACTTAAGGTTAAGACATGTTAAAAATCCAAAGAAGAAAGGACAGAGAGCTGCAGTTAACAATTCACAAAAGGATTCTAACATCTAACTTCTTCTAATGTACAGACATATCCACTTTACAGTGTAAGAGGCTGCCTGAGCTACTCTCAGGTTTGAAAACCAGAAATTTCCTTCTCTGCATTCAAAATATCTGCACTCATCAACACTCTATCTCAAGATTGGCATATTTGATACAAAACTCTAAGTTCTGCTATTTCAGCTGTGACAGACTATGTTGGCTAAGTAGAAATAGGTAACGCTAATAAGTAAAACCACTTGCCTCTTAAAAATGTAAGAAAAATAGTTAATGAAATGTAAGTGGATAGTTCAAAACCATAAGTCCCAGCTATTTCCAAGATTCAAGGCTGCAGCAACACTCAGATAACCTGAGCATCTCATGTATTTAAACATTAAGTTACAGACTTCTGAAATGTACTGAAGCAAATAGTCATGGGAACAACAGGACCAAACATAACCATGTATTCAAAATCAAACTTCTCATACCTCCAGACTTTACACAGATGAAGTGAGTACTGCAGAAGAAAGTGCCTTGCTTTTTTACTTCATATCTGGCTCTTTAGTCCTGCCTGTGAACGTCCCCTAGGTATTACGGTTTTAACACGATTTCTTCATAGAGCATATTAGTACCAAACTAACTCTGTGGTTGAAACAACATCTTACCTAATTACTGTTTTACAACACAACATTGCCCAGAAAAAAGTCATTAAGCAATCCAAGTGCAGTGAGTGGCATCATTCTCAGTCACATGATGGATTTTAAATAGCCAGCGCAGCACTGGTAGCCAGTAATTACTCTGAAATTTCCATAAATAATCACTTCCATTGGAGCTTTTAAAAAAAATTGCATGTCCACTTTAATTCTTACTACATTCAGTTTTTCCCCTTCCTCAACTAAAAAGAAAAAAACACAGCTAGTTACTTCATCCTAAGGTAAAGCTACGGTTTAAGTAGCCAAAGGGCCAGAATCAAACTAGCAGTGAGGCTCTGAGAATTGTTTCTTATACCACGGATTTATTTCCAAAAATTAAATCACAAAAACATCTTCAAAACACCTTTTCGTGAACGTAATTTTTATTCACTTTACGTAGGAATTCTTGGTTTCATTACCTGTTCACAAAAAGCTGCCCTCTCAATTTTCAGAAGAGGCACTATAAAATTGCTATTTCTGCTGAGGAACATACAAAAGGACCCCCCTAAAGATCCTGTTAAATCTAGTTTGGCTGTACAGAAATATGGCAATCAAAGAGGATAATAGTTCTTGTACATGACTGGAGGCAATAACTCCCATCCCCAAGGCTGCCAAGAACATGACTGGTATTATGAGGCAGTTAAAGCTTCATTAACCTCTTCATGCCTGAAACACATATATCACATTAGTGCCATCCTGAATAAATTCAAAGACATGAAAATAAATTACACGGGAATACAAAAAGCAGATTAACAAAAGACAGGTCACTATAATTTCAGCCTGTCTCTGAAGGGGTAGCCATAAGGGAGAACAGACTAAAGAATGGTCAGGGTATTAGCAAAAAAAATTGCATTTAGAAAAGCATATTATAGTCAGGCTTTTATTTTTCCTCGAATTCAGAGGTCAGAACAGATAAAAAAATCTAAAAGACAAATATGACCGACTTGATGATCTTCATTTATAACTCCTTGGGCAGTATTGACAATAACCCCCTGATGATCTGAGCCTTTCACTTTCCCCATTTCAGAAACCCTCCTAGATTTAAAAAAAGAAATCTACCATAAAACCCAGATCTGGGATGTAGAGCAGGATGGGAGCTTTATTGTTTACGCAAGTTTTCTTGTATGTGGAAGCAAACCTAGAATATCAAAAAGTTTCTGGATATTTTTGGCTGACTCTACAGCATTCCCATCAGCAAGTCGAGAATTTGGTTTCCAGTAAGTAGTTCCATTATTGGTGGTATCAAAAGCACAGCTCTATATGCCTGTTAGTATTTAAAATTGTCTTGGGCTGCTTAATGTAAATCTTTTGTTACCATAAGAAACACAAAGCCAGTGTATATGCAAAGGCACAGGGCACGAAAGGCACACATTTCCAGCACAAGGAAGGGCACAGATTAATTCTGTATGTAAAACACTGTGGTGAATATTGCAGTACCCAGTCTATCATTACATCTATGAGCCTGGCAGTGAGACCCTTCTGATTCACACACCCCTGCATTCCATGGATGCACCCCACATTACTAACCAGCCAAACAAAAAACCCCAATGAGCCCTTCTTTAACACCAGCATGTAAAAGAAACCTCTGCTGAAGAGTTAAATTCTCATGAAAGGATTTGGATTCAGTTGAAATGATCTTGAATTCATCTCTACCTATGTGGACACCTCTGGCAGACCTCCTTACATCTGACAGGCCCAATCCACAAGCCTGGTTTAAATCACAGGTGAGAGGCAAGTGGGTTTTCATCTAACTTATAACAGCTGGCACAACTCATTGCAAAAAAGTAACAGCATAAAAAGAAATTTACTTCCCACACTGACAGCAAATAGAAGACTCAAATTAGCACAATGTCTTCAGCCAAGCCTTCTAGTAAAAATATTGAGGAAACACAACCGCTCTCCAGACACTTTTATTCACAAAGGCAATGATGACAAGCAAGGACAGTAGTAACAATTTTTTTTTATTATTTTTCCCATGTTCATTCAGTCAATCAACAGATAAGTTCCAAACATTTAAAAGAAAAAATCCACTAAAAAAAATTAAAATTGAGATATACATGTGACCAAAATTACTGATTTTAGAAACTACATTCTTTCTCAAGACTCTCACCACCAGTGCTTTGCCTTACTCTTTCACCCAGAAGAGAGACTCCCAGTCCTACCAGATTACTTCATCTGTGCAGACCCCACACACTGACAACTACTTACAGTCAGGTCTGAATACAAACCACAACAGTCAGAAGCCAGCAGCATTTCCTTAAATATGACCCAAGCAAGACAGGAGACAACTTGCTGGGAGATTTCAAAGGGCATTTTACCAACGTCAGGATACTCTGTACACAAGTCCCTGCCCTGCCTGACTCACGCTGTGTCCACACTGACATTCCCTGCATTTGTCCTGTGACAGCATTCCCGCTGCCAGAGCTCCAGTGCTGGCAGCTGCTCTAGACCGGCAGCTGACATTTTAAATGCTATGTAAGACCTCTGGCAGCTCCCTTTGCTGCTGCCAAAGGTAAAGCTACATTAATTAATGTAAGAAAGAGCTCAGCAAGCCCCAGAGCAGAGTAGCCCTTAAAGCCTGGGAAGGCTGCATATGGTCAGGAGACAGCCTGTTGCAAAACAAGGACAAGGTTGAGCTCAGAGAACTACGGGGCCACAGCAGGTTTTAGACCAAGCCTCCCAACCAGCTCTGCACAAACAGCCTAAAAGCTGCTTTAGAAAGGTCTCACCACAGGCCACCCTGAGCCCCTGCCAATGTGGGAGCACAGACCAGGAGCAGGGAGCTACAGCACTGCAGACACGTGGCTCTCCTGGGATTGACGGGAGAGAGCCCTGGCACGAGGAATGACTGAAGATGAAGAGCAAGTCCCATCCCCTCAGCCATCCTAGACCAGTTATAAAATAACCAGGTCTGCCCCAATACTCCTCAAAATACAGAAATTCCTCCCAAGAAATTTATTAGTGAAAGCACAGACCAAAGCAGAGAGAGTGGTGTCAGGCACTGTCAGTGAGCACCATTCATGGAGGAATGGGAACATGGGTGACAGCCCCCTCCTGCTTTCCACCCCTGCCCAGTAGAGAAGGCTGGCAAGTCTCCACTGCTGGGCAGTGCAGAGAGGCCAAGGGCAGACCACACCATGGGGCAGCCCAGGGCACAGATCCTGCTGCAGGTACTGCCCTGGTACTCCACACCACGAGTCTTGAGACATTTAAAAAATGCCAACTGCTGCCCTTTCTTCCCTCCCCTCAGTGAGGAGATGGGGTGGGGCTCAGGCAGCTGTGAGCTACCTCTTTACACTGATAATCATGACACCTTACAAAGAAAAGGTAAAGAAAACATATTTCATCCAGGGGAAGGCCACCTAGGAACTTAAATCTGGGAGGATGGAATGTTCTCTATGTGCTAGGGCATGCTGAGGATGGGAAACCACTTCCTGCTTGCCCAAAGAGCTGTAAGCAGTATAATTAGCACTTGCTTGTAACATTAAACGTCACCAGATTTAATCTGAAGGGTCACTGGGAAACCCTCACGCAAACCTGAACTATTTAACTATAAATACCTCGACTGTCCATGCGGAGAGCTCCTGAACACTGAGAGCACACTGAATTTAAGCTACTCTGTTACTTTTGCACTTTTACATAGTCTTATTTAGTGCTGCCCTTGCACTCCTAGGGCCACTCTCCAACAGCAATTCCTCACATGCAGTAAGTGTTAATTCAAGGTTTTGAAACACACTGGCTATGTGACTGCGAGGTTTTTTTGAACCACTAAAGTAACTGAACCATGTTGGTGAGTGACATTGCCACACCACGGTGGCACTCAAGGCAACACTCCTTTCTTCCTGCTTTCCCATAGGAAAGCCTTTGCTGTGTTGCTGTGCACAGAGATTCCTTCCCCCCACTGACCCCCCTAGACTTGGAGGAGGGGGTTAGATAACACCCAAGCCCATATTCCAGAAAGGAAGCATGCACTCCACCAGTCTGCGCATTTCCAAGCTACTGCACACATTTTGGCTGGACCAGTCACAGTCTGGCCACGAGGCTAAGCCAGCAAACTCCACGTGAGATCTGCTGGGATGTCACAAACCTTACGTGATACCAGCCCACATCTGCTTCCAAACTCTCACCACACAAAGTGGAAGTTGGCCTGCTGCTGCATGTTTCGCTCCCAGCTACACCAGGAAGGTTTTGACAAGTGCATCAAGAGGTCAAACACCCTGGAACTGTGCTTTGTTTAGGCTGCTAATGCCAGAAACTGCTCTGTAGTTATAAGTACACAATGCCGAAAATTGTAAGTCAAGCTGGTAAAAGAATTCAGTGTTAATAAAGGAATCCATGGTCCTGCAAAACTCTCTGCGGTATTTTTATTTCTCTTTACGACTAATTTCAGCTCCAAACTCTTTCAGGAATTCACTCATAAGATAAATGCTATCATGGCAACAAAACTAACTTCCTAAGCTAATATCTGAACACTCAGTATCTTGAAACCAAAGTAATAAGACAATCTTTAACAAAAATGTTAGTGAAGCTTGGCTGCCGATTTACAATGAATTAAAATAATCCCCTACTGGTTTCTATGAAAAAGATCTTGGCATGGAATACCACGTCAGAGGAGAGAAAAGCACTTCTATGTTCATAAAGATTATGGCAGAAAACACTGCTTAGGAACAGCAGAATGCAATGTTAGCACTGAACATAAATGAGTTTTTTCCTTAATCTCATAAAGTTTAACTTCAGAGGGCTGCTTACCTATCTACTACGCCCACAAGACCTGCTACAACGGTCCTTCCAAAGCAAAAGAATACCTTTTCCAGAGTAAATCTTCCACTTAACATTTTAATTTCCCATAGCATTCTCAACTCTTAGAAATGGATTTTTTTATTTCCTAAATTCTGTATACACTTCTTCAGACATGGAAGTCTATAATCTCTGGGGAGTTTTAAGGTACAGATCATAGAAAAATCATTTAATAATTCCTTATCTTTAAATTAATACCTTGATTCCAGTGCTTAACACATCCAAGAAACAATCTAAAATGTTAAAATATAAAAGCCTCCTAACAGGTACAGAATAATTGAAAATAATCAGTGTTCTTTTTTTAAGTATCTGAATTTGCTCTTTAGCCTTTTACTGGTCTCTTTCATACTCAGGGAGCTATGATCAAAGAAATTAATACCTAGTAAAAAGCACATTTAAAGATGCAGAACTATATAATTTTCTCTTCTTTACCTTTTACTAATTCTATTTGTTCTCCCTAATAATTCTCCCTTCCTTTTCCCTCCATACATATAAGGGTCAAATTTACTGATTATTTTTTCTTTTCCTTATTGAAAGGACTGGATGTGCAGTTGGTTGCAGATTTTCAGAGAAATGCTTCAAAATTTGCTGTGCAACTGAGGAAAAGTTACTTGCTCAAATAGCAAAGTAACCAGCAGTGCAATGAACTGCTGGACTGTGATATCCTGAACTTTCACACATCTCTGTTTCCATCAGTAGATGTGGACTTGCCAAAGACCGAAAAGGGGAGAGGCCTTGAGCTGGTTTTTCTTAAAGTGCTGACAGTGCACACGAGCTCTAAAAGAACCCTGCATCAGCACTGGCTACATTTCTACTGCTGGCAAACACAGAGGTGCTTTGCCATTTTGATAATTCGTCAACAGCTTGCCAAGGGCTGCAAACTTCAGTTTTGGGAGTTTTTATTGAGGGTTCTGTTTTGTTTGGTTGTTTTCTGGTGGTTTTGGTTGATTTTGACAGAACAATAAAAAAAAAACCCAAGCACTGCAATGTTGGCTCTGCCTCTGAAACAGGACATGCATCTCCCACCAACAGCCTATTTGAAAAATCAAAACCGAGTGTTTCAGAGAGGACATCCCAAATCAGCGGTATTAGTCTACACAATCCTCTTTATAAAGGCTTTCCATTTCAAACAGGTGGAACAATAATTTGGGAAAGGGATCAGTTTGCAGCACCTAACTGCACATATGAAAGAACTAGGTTACAGCACTCCATTTAGTTTTTAAAATGTTTTTCAAATTTTTTCATCAGTTATCAAACCTGGCATATGGACACTGGAATGGGATTCAGTGATTTTTTTACAGAGAAGGAGAAATGATTAAAGGATAAACTTTAAAAAGGCTGCAGAGGAGGGGAGGTATCCCATTCCCACAGACTAATTTACAAGTTCATCAACTTTTATAATGGAGGCCTGCTATTTACTTTAGCACACCAACATTGTATAACTACATTTCCATTAATTTGATGCATACATCAGTGTGATAAGTGCTGCATTAGCTGAAAACTGACACACTTCAGCACTTGTGACTCTCATCAATGTATCTCTGAGCAAGAGTTTGTCAGTCAACAGCCCAAAAATTCTACCTGTGCCTGCAAATCCAGCATCAAGTTTAGTCTGAGATATCAATTCTTCTTCACACTGATAACAAGTTAAACCTCTGGTATATTAAATCGGTCTTTACATAAGGCTAAGAATCCCTTCATGAAACTCAAATGCTGAATATTCCTCTTTAAGAAGTCTCACTTAAAGAGATTAAATACTGTAGCGTCCACAAATTACAAAAGCACTCAGAGATTTAATTATTAACTAGAGATTATTACTCCATTAAAGATGTTTCATGCACACATGCTACAGTGGATGTTTGCACAGTTTTAAAGGCTGGCAGGAGGATCTAAAAGAGTATTTCTTTAAAAAACATACTCCTGATTCTTATCTAGTAGGCACATATTTGTGGTAGCTACCTCTTTATCCTAATAGAACAATATATTTCAATTAAGTCATTAAGTCCTGCAGCTTTTTCTCTTGTTAAGCTCAAATGACAGAAAAAAAAACCAATCAAAAACCAAAACCATAAGAACATAACAGTTCAGAGAGCCAAAAGAACTTTCTAAAGTAACAATTGTGAAAGCTTCCTGTCCTTAAATTCTGAATTCCTTATAAAACTGAGGAAGAATCCCTCAATTTTGAAAGGTTTTGGGAAGTTTTTCTGGCTCTTCAATTCAAGGACTTGCTCACTGACCTCGTGGATCTTTGGACACCACTGGACAATAGGAAATCACATGGCAGCTGTGCTCCTTCAAATTATCTACAATTGATGATACAATTTTTCATTTCTTCTGCAATTACACCTTTTCTCACACCATACTTACAGAAGTCCCCCTCAAAAGAAACCCCAAACAAAAACAAAAAACACATCCCCAACTAAATCCCCAAAATTTTAAACAGATGACACAGCTGATAAGCATTAATAAAACATCTCTTTTGCAAAAGTCACGGGTTTATTAATTACATAACCTTTTTCCTATTAAAAAACCAAATTATTTTATTTTTTTTTCCTTTTGTAGAGGGGTAGTTCTGTGCAACCCCTTGCTTAACATAAAGTAACATTAACAAGGGATTCCCAGGTTCCTGCCTTGATGCTTAATTGCATCACATTAGAGCTCAAAGGTCTAGGGCTTTCAGGTGCAACATATTTTAAAGCTAGAGGGCAAGAACTGCCTTAAAGAACCTCCTGACTTTTACTATATAAATAACTTGAGCCCATTAAGTTATATAATGAAAACCAAATTAGAAATATACTTAAAAACTGCTCCAAGTTTTTTAATGAGAAGATTTCTCTGCTTAGTTCAAGGAGCAGAAATACATAAAACAAAACAGCAATAAAAAAGCCAGAAACACAGCATTTACCACAGCGTACTTGAAAGATGAAAATAAAACCACTGATATTATTCACAGAAATGACCATTTGGAAGACTTTTTCTTTTTTAAGTGCTAAAATACTATACTGATACAAGTACTAATAACATATCCTGTCTCCAAAAGGTTCTACCTATCTCCAAGAAAGCAGGGAGATGGACAGGGACCTGAGAATTTACATACTTTGGACATGACAAGGGAAAAGAGAGAGCTTAATTTTATTAAATCTTCACAACACCAATAACCTCCAATACAGTGGGTTTCAAAAATTACCCCAAAACACGAAATTTCTTTGACACAAAACCAAAAACTACCCTCAGTACTGCGTTTTTCCACAAGAGGACACTAAAATAATAAGAAAAATAAGTTGTACAGAAACGTACAACTACCATATACCATTCTTCTTCATTAGCCAAGTAGAATGCTTTTCACTTACAAACTATTTTGCAGTGAAGTAGGCAATAATTACTTTTCTACTAATGCGCATTTTAGTCATTCTAGTGATTCTCACTTGGCTTTTAGTGTGTCTCCGGCGGACAGATATATTTAAGCTTGTCATAGACAAAAATCTACTCTTTCGAGCCCCGTGCCGCACCTGGGGCAGCGACCTGGGTGCGCTCCCTCCCCGTTCGCCTCCTGCTACTCCATTTTCACTGAATCACAGGATCCACTGGGGCTGGAAAAGACCTCTGGAATCATGACCGGACACCACCGTGTCACCCAGACCAAGCGCCACATCCAGTCTTTCCTCAAACACCTCCAGGGAGGGTTACTCCAGCACCCCCCCGGGCAGCCCGTTCCGCTCATTCACCCCCCACTCCCCCGCGCCACGATAACGTGAGGGGGAGCGGCGGCGGCCGAGCGCCATTGCGGGGCGCGGGGCGCCTCTGCCCGCGGGGGCTCCGCGCCGCGGCTCCTGCGCCACCCCTCGTGCTCAGTCAACAACCGCGCGGCTCGGCCGGGCGCGCCCGGCGCTGGGCGAGGCACCGGAGCCGGAACCGGGACCAGCCACAGCCACGGCTGAGCCGAAGGCGCCGAAAGCGGCGGGCCCGGGGCGGGACGGCTCTCGCGAGAGCCGCGCCGGCGGCCATTTTGGCCATGGATTGGCGGCGGGGCGGGGCCGCGGCGCTGCCCGCGGGAGCGGAGGAGGAGGAGGAGGAAGAAGAGGAAGAGGAGGAGGAAGAAGAAGAAGAAGAGGAGGAGGAGAAGGAGGAGGAGGAGGATGAGCCGCGGGTATCCCCCCGCCTCCCGCTGCTGCTGACGACGGCGCTCGGCTCAGCCTGCTGCGGGCTTCGCGCCGCGCCAGCGGCCATGGTGCCGAGCGAGGAGAACCAGCTCGTCCCCAAGGAGGTGAAGCGGGCGAGCGGGCGGCGGCGGCCCCTGCGGCGGGCGGGAGGGAGGCAGGCCCGGGGCTCCGGCCGCGGAGGGGGCGGAGGAGGCCCGGACCGGCCCCACTGTGCTCGTACGCGGCCCGCCTTTGTGCAGAGAGCGGGGGGGAAGGGGCTGGCGAGGGGAGAGGAGGAGGAGGAGGAGGAGGCCGGGGCCGAGCGCAGGGCCCGGGCGGCCCGAGGGCTGCACCTGTCCGTGCCCGGCATGCGGGCCCGGCCTGCGCGGCGGGGCCGGGCCGTGTCACGGGGCCGGGGGCAGCGCGGCCCCTCCCGCCGGGCGGGCAGGGCCCTGCGCTGAGGGCCGAGCTGGGAGCGGGCCCGGCGGGCTCGGCCCAGGGGAAGGGGCCGGCGATGCCGAGGGGCCACCACCGAGGTGCGGGGCCGCCCCGACCCTCCCCGGGGCGCCCGCGGTGGGAGCCGCGGGGAGCGGGCCGAGCAGCGGGTTGTCTCCTTTATTCTGAGCCCCTCGCCTCCCCTTTGCTGCGGGGGAAAGGGGGAAGGCTTGTTTTTGGCCACGGGGTAAAGATAAGAGGCTGAGTGAAAGAGGAAGGCGAAGGCTCTGTCCCGCAGCGATAGGCGAATGACACGTGTCAAGCAGAGCGATTCTGTGCAGGGGAAGGAGTGCGGGTGATGGCATGGAATGTTTGGAAACAGGTGCTCCTGGAGTGGTATCAGCAGAAACTTTGTTTCCAGAGCAGGTAGCCTTACACATTCAGTCAACTTTTCTGACAGTTTTGCTGTTCCTGGTAAATTACTCAAACTCTTCCTGTTGTATTTTTGTCAAATGTTAGCGTTTACATTTACCTGTTCTGTCGTGTGTTCTTGAGGGAGGCTTTGTCAGGCAAGGACTTCGATTTTGTGGAGTTTAGCAAAATGAGGTGCTGGTCCTTAAGTGGTATCCTTGAGCAGATCTGTGAAACAAATAACAATACAGAATTTTAGAAACTATTTTTTTTCCGTGCAATTGTACAGGTGTGTATGTAGGACTGAGGTAACTTCACCTCTTGTTTTCTTTCTTAAAATACTGAGGTTTAAAGGACTACATTTAGTCTTTCTATAGGAAACAGAAATCTCCAGAACCTTCAAATAAGGGATGGAGTGTAGTAGCTAGTATACTTAAATATTAGCTTTTAAACAAAATCTCCAAAAATATAAATTTAGGTATAGAAGATATAGTGGCTTCTATACTTAAATATTTCATTTTAAAACCAAACATAGAGACAAAGGAGAGTGGCAGGAGAAACATTGTGACAGTAGCTGTAGTTAATTGTAACAGACCGAAGTATTTAATAAAAGCAGCTAGTTGAGGCTGTTTCTTTAGTTCTGTGTATTAATAGTATCCCCCTTGGCTTTAGGGTTGTATTTGGAATATATGCATGAATCAGATGTGTATTTTTAACTGACTCATTGGACTAGGATTTTGAATGCACTTTTATCTGTAGGGAGGGAAGTGTGGGTAAAGGAAGATGAATATATGTGATTATAGATGTGGATATCTTGAACAAACAGTGTGAAATCTATAAACTTTGTACATTGATAATGCTGCAGTGAGTTGCTTTTTCTCTGCAAGTTTTCTCAAGTTCTTTATTGTGTCCCTGTGCATTTTTTAATAAATTAAATGGAACAGAATATCAATAAAATCAAATTGAGAAAGAAAACAGATGAACTATTTGTGTTAAGTCCATCTGTTTTTTTATATATGTGTATATACACACACATGTTGTAATAGAAGTTTGTCTTGAACTTTTTCAATGTCTTTCAGTATATCCTCATTTTTATTTTAGTGATATGAAGTTTTAACAAATGTTATGCCGTAACGTTCACATTAAGTCCTTCTGAGAGTCATTAATAGTCTCATTGCAGAGAACACTGTGAGTTATGGGTAAACAGAATTCTCCAGGTCTCAACA